CTCGTAACTTCTTCCTCTAATATCCATTCATTATCCGGGAAACATGTTATGGGGATACTCAAACTTATCAAGTAGAAGTTGTTGTCTTGACCTAACACCAAATTCTCGCAACTAATCTACAAGAAAATCTATGAGATAGAATAAATATATGAAAATCATATATTTTTGAACTGCGGTATTTGATACGTATGATGCACGATCCTCGCAGTAGATAGCGCTATTTAAGCAATAGCGAAAATCAGACCTGAAAAAAATCAGGCCTGTACGGGATTCGAACCACTGACCTCTGCGATACTAGTGCAGCGCTCTACCAATTGAGCTAACAAGCCAACTGAGAGCAGGCCGTTACTAGAGCGCTGCACTAGTATCGCAGAGGTCAGTGGTTCGAATCCCGTACAGGCCTGATTTTTTTCAGGTCTGATTTTCGCTATTGCTTAAATAGCGCTATCTACTGCGAGGATCGTGCATCATACGTAAGAAAATCTATCACAGCTAGAGGAGAGATTTAACAATCAGATCTTCGTGTAACTCCCGATTAGCTCACGCTTCTCCTACTTAGTTCAAAAAGCAAACGGAAAAAACTGTTATGCAGGTCGTCAAGGCTCCAATCTTTTTTCATTTGGTGGAAGTAAAAAAAGCAAGATTGCTCTAAAGAAGTTAGGAACTGCAACAGAAAATTCGCCTTTGCTACCATGGATAAACATAGTCAGTCGAAGAATGTAAAGCTAGTCTAGAAAGCCCTGTTTCAACTTGGTGATTCTGATGGAAATAACTCATGCCGAGAATTTCCATTTCACTTTCTCCCTTTGTTTAGCACAGCTTTTTCTGACTTTCTAATGTCTTTCGTCCTTCATAACACAAAATGGCCTCCAGCGTTATTTTGTGCTAAAAGAGACCACACGGCAATTGCTGAAATTACAGTACCAAACTTATTATTCCTTTTTCGTTTGGGTGATTTCTTTGTTCAAAAACGACGTCCATTAATTATCTCTGTACCTACGATTCTATATCGTATAAAGACTGAAAGTATTGCCTACCCCCATAGACTTCAAGACCGAGTAGAGGAAAATATTTTTCTTCAAGCACGAAAAGGTTTTGCCAACGAAATTACAACAAAGTTGATCAGTTTTCATCTCGTATCGGATAAAAATGGACAGGTTATCAGTTGTAGAATATGAAGAATATGTAGTATGGACAACGTAAGTACAAATGCGTGTCAATAAACTAAGCTTTGCCCTCAAAAGCGCGGTATCGACAAGCTCATATTAAAAGAAGGCATAAGTCACGCTTACTTTATGATAACAGCGAACTATAATTTGCTGCTGCTTTGGCGAACAATTTTTCACGAACGTTCAAATGTTGTTTGACTTAGAGTTCTTCATGCGCTTTATACTGCATCAGTCAAATTGGCTAGAACTGATTTGCAGAAGCAATCTTTACGCTGCTTTGACCTCAGTTTGTTTTCTTCCGCAACTACAATCAGTCATGCAAACTGAGTGCATGACAACATAACGTTGGACGTTATGTGTATTGGGACAAAATAATTCCCCATACATGAATTACCTACCACAAAATAGCTTTACACCGCTGATCAGTGTGACTGGCAAGTTTCTTGAGTTGTGACACGAAATATCTACTAATCCTAGAGTTTACTTGAGTGTTTCGATTTGTGCTATCACCATCTGAAGTAATGCTAACCATCGAGAAAAACTGGCAAACAACAAAATTAACCATAAGAGAAAGAACAACGTTCATGCTAAACAATGAAATCTTCAGCGATGTCAAGTTTGTTGTTCGCAAGATAAATCGTGAAAGTGAAACTAAACAACTGATTCCAGCTCACAAGTTTGTGCTGTCCATAGGCAGTCCTGTCTTTGAAGCCATGTTTTATGGTGATCTGGCCGAGACTAAAGACACTATTGAACTACCTGACGCCGAATACGAGAGTCTGTTGGAGTTTTTTCGTTTCATGTACAGCGATGAAGTGAATTTAAGCGGGAGTAATGTGATGGGAGTATTGTATTTGGCGAAGAAATACATAGTGCCTTCACTCGCCGATTAATGCACCGAATATTTGCATGATAACTTGGAGCCATCGAATGTTTTCAGAATCCTGCCATCTGCTGAGAAATACGACGAGAAAAAGCTGGTGGAACGATGCTGGAAAGTGATTGATAAACAGACAGAGCAAGCCATGAAATCTGATGGATTTGTTGGAATCGATAAGTCATTCCTCGCAACAGTTGTCAAAAGAGTTACACTAACAACTAAAGAGATAGAGTTGTTTAAAGCTGTTGACTTGTGGGCCACAAAGGAATGTGAACGACAGCGTTTAACCGCTAATGGTTCAGTGAAGAGAGATATTCTTGGAGAAGAGATAATCAAAGCCATACACTTCCCAACGATGAAACTCGAAGAATTTGTCAGTGTCGTATTGGACAGTGACCTTCTACACAAAGCGGAAATCAAAGATATCATCAAATGTCTTAGTTCAGTTGTAACGTCTTCAACTATTTTTCCTGACACAAAACGATGTGGCGTATCGAGTGATATCAAACAGTGTCGCAGGCTCGATTCCAAAACTGAAGTACCGGGTTGGGGTTATGGTTATGGTTATGGAAATGGATACCGTAAGGACGGTATCCATTTCTCTGCGGATAAAGATATAGAGCTACACGGTTTGTGCTTCTTTGGTTCGCATGAGCAGTCTTATTCGGTAAATTTGGAACTAAAAGGACACAAACACTAAAAGAACGTTAACATCCTTGACTGGAACATTTTCCTCAAAGCCGTTAAATTGCAGAAATTACAGTTATCTCGGTTTTGAGGTGGCTTTTGAGGAAGCATTTTTATTGAAAAAGAATAGAAGATACAGCATAGAGGCTTTAATATCAGGTCCTAATTCGTTGCATGGGTTGGATGGTAAAAGTCCTCTTCAGTGTTCGGGGGTAACATTTACATTCTTTAACAGTAAGCACTCAGCATCTGGAACAGACATTAACCAGGGTCAATTTCCCGTGCTGCTGTTTTCTCTTTAAAGCATCGTGTATTTTAGCACACTTCTGACAGCGCAAGCTACCGAACTTATAATGCTTCAGCTAGTTCAAGTAAATATCTAATAGAAAAATAATAAAATGATTCAAGTTGAAATTAGCACAATGTTGACTTTCAAGAACTATTTCAGTTTTGCGGTTATCTTAGCTAAACTTCTGTAATATTAGCACAATGTTGACTTTCAAGAACTATTTCAGTTTTGCGGTTATCTTAGCTAAACTCCTGTAATATTCTTGTCTCCCCCAAAGAACAATGCTAGCGGAACAAAATCCATTCTAAATTGATCAACTCAATATTTGGTGGTCTGTTACATGACATTCCAAGCTTGTTGCAAGCTTGAATGTGAAACAATAAATCTTCAATTCTGAAACATGCCTTTTCAAAATACTGATTAGACCAATAAAATTGTGATTTCCCTTTGTCACAATTATTATTGTTTTCCTTCCCAATTTCAATTTTCTATCAATAAAGAAGACCGACAGGCGAGTAATCGAGTTTGTGAATCTTGGTATGCACACTTTTCTTATGACGTAAAGGAGTCGTGTTTAACCGTATCTCTAATTAAATTCATGGACGCACTTACGACGCAGATTCACCATAAATCCATGCGATTACGTCACACGCACATTGAAAATCTAAACGCCATCATGGTCGGGATTCCCTTCATTTTTAATTGCTCCTTCCTTAGACCTCGTGCCTTCGTGTGGTTGGTAGGAGCGATCTTATTCGATAGACTTGGAACTAACAGACACCAACATCAAAGAGGTGTTAACATCTATGACTGGAACATTTTCCTCAGTGGTGTTAAACTGCAGAAAGTACAACTATTTCGGTTTTGAGGTGCCTCTTGAGGAAGAAACGTTATTGAAAAACAACAGATCATACGGTATAAGAGCTTTAATATCAGGACCTAGTTCGCAGGATGGGGTTCACTGTATCAATCCTGTTATATGTTCGGGAGTAACATTTTCATTTTTTTAACAGTGAGCAAGGCATTTGCACAGAAGTGAACGGTGGTCAGTTTCCCGCGCTGATGTTTTTTCTTTAGAGTATCGCGTATCATTGCCGACCATTAACAGCACAACTACAGAACTGATAATGCTTTACTTAGCAGACATCTTATATAAAAATCAACTGTAATAAATGGTTTTAACTGAAATTTAGAACAATATTGACTTACAAGAGCTATTTCAGTTTCACGGTTATCTCAGTTTCACGGTTATCTCAGCTTCAAATGTCGATTCCTTTATTATTTCTGTCTTACAAAACCAGTGCTCACAATGTTCTCCCGGTTTCCCCCTGTCACAACTGTTACTATTGCCGTTTCTGATTTCAATTTTGCATCTGTAGAGAAGACCGACAGGCGAGAAACGCGCATGGATGTTCCCGATTCACCGTAATTTGATACGATCACCTTTTACGCATGATGAAAATCTATACGCCATTGTGTCAGAATGCCCCTCGATTTTTATTGCTTCTTCCCTAACCCCCATCCATTTGAATTACACAGTATTAGCTCACGCTTCTCCACTTAGTTAAAAGGAAAGAGAAAGACTGATATGCAGAGCTTCCCTACCGTTTTCCGCCTCGTTAACCCTTAAATCCCTTAAAGTGACCAGCATCTAATTTCTCCCTACAATATTACCCCTGAATCAAAAATAAGGTCACGAGAATTAAGTAAGTGATCAACAACTGAAGAAGCTCTTGATTGTAACGCAAATTCTCCCTGTCAACACCTTAGAAATGTATAGAGAACAGTGTAGAGAATATGCATACTGATGTTGCCAGTTGGGTGTAAAAGTTGAACGGAATTTAAGCAAGATGGGTGTTGAGACCAAAGAAAGGCTACGGCAAGGGCTAGACTGCATCATAGACTAAATCACGTCAACCCTGTAAAATTGGATTCCTTTGTTACCTAAGCATGTGTCAATCAAAATAATTCTTACCTGACCCCAGTACTGATATCTGTTCTCCGAACAGAAAGTTTTCATGGATGTCTTCAGACTGTCATCAATTTGACCTCTGAAAAAGTTGAATTTACCCACCTGTTAGTTATTATTGAAGCTCTATGCAGTATATCATCTATAGCCTCGAACGCCAGAGTAAGAAAAGGGGAAAAATGGCCAGCAAAAGAAGTAAAGAAATATTCAAAAGTCAAAACCGAACTCAGAAGATCCTGATCAGCGGTCCTAAATCAAGATACCGCCCACTATCTAACAAGCTGAACCATAAATTACACCAAATGTAATGGTACCATAGGGGAAAGTTGCATGACATAAGTCAAAATGGGCTAGGCGCACAGACTGTAAGCTCCTTGATGTACGGTTTTAACCTATTGGTGCTTAGATGTCTACGGAGGGAGCTGGAAAAACTTTGTATTTTACAAAGCCAATAAAACTTGAAAACAATGATCTACGAGAGATAGATGAAGACTACGCTGACAGAATACACATACAAAATTACCTTGAGACATAGTAAGCTTCTAATGCAATTATCTGCATGGCATAACAGCTGATTTCCATGTAATATCTATAATCCTTTTAAATAAAGACAAGAAAATGGATTTTTAAAAAAAAGCTGGATAGTTGAACAATGCTGAAATTAGCAAAATTAATTAATGATAATAAGCATTCAAAAATAAATTTTCATTGATTATCAATAGTATGATTTTTTTCTAATTTTTTTTTTAAATTAAAGAAAATGTTAGTGCTTTAAATTTCTGTCGCCATAATCACCTGAAATGATAACAAAAATCGTTTTCCTCCTGTAAGATAATGCACATCCACGAAAAATTTTCCCAAAAACTGGAAACGTATTTTTGTTTCGTACAACGAGCACTCATTAATAAGTCCCCTGCCTCAAATCTATCTTTGTCAACATTGTTCGCTTTAAACAGCTTTTAAGGACTGTTAGCATTTACCTCATCTTCATCTGATTCTATTCCTGTTATCAAAGGCCGAGTTAACTTCTCCCAAAACTTTGGACTGTGGGAGAGGCAAAGAAGTCTTCATTAGGTACAAAATTACTTGATTCTTTTTAAGAAGAAAGCAATGTAATTTACAACAGCTGATAAAAGCCAAGATCTCAGAAGGAAATTGAAATAAACCCTTCTCCACCGTTATATCTATTGAGACGCAGAGGCTAATGCACCGGACCAGATCTTAAGGTCCGCAGGTCTTAGCACTGGGCAGGTTATTGTGACGTGCTCTTGAGCAAGAAAATTATCTTTCCCAGTACCTCTCTTTACACCCAGGAGCTTAAATGGGTGTTAGTGAACTGCCAGCGATATTTGACGAGATGTTAGAAATGTTGCAGAGATCCGGGAGTTTTCATAAGAAGGTTCGAAAATATTTCTCGACAAACCTGCACCCCCCTCTTCATTCCTTCCTCACTTCCCCTCCCCCTCTTTCTCCCATTTCCCTCTTCCCTCTCCCCTCCTCGTATCTCTCTCCTTTCCCTCCCCCCCTTCACTGATGGTTACACAAAAAAGGCCAGTAGAATAGTAATACACGAACTTGTCATTTCAAGAATGTTGGAGTCAGACATTAAAAAAAAAAAAAAAATCCCACGGACCGCATGAGCGGGGTGTAGGGATCCCTAAGACACTTCCACAGAACCCCCCATTGATTTATGGTATAGACACCGGAGTGAGCAGCTGCAATTAAGGTTCGATGGGTTGGTGAGACCGAACAAATTTCTGAGGTATAAACTATATAACACTTATGTAAGGGGTCTAATGATTACCTCATCCTTACTGCCATTAGGGCAGCATCTCTCCTGTCATGCCACAAGGAGTAAAGTAAGAAGAAAGCCGCCGAAACAAGCTCAGGAGGAATGTGGTGACCTGACTACAGACAAACGAAAAAATTGACTATGGACGGGAGGCACGTTTGCCACAAACAAATTAAAACGAGTAGTTTTCATCACGATAACATTTAGTAAACAGCATAAAAACAAGGTACATCAGGATTTGGAGAATTTCGTTGTCATAGATTTGCTCTCTCCTGTGACATATCGTCGGCATGAGAAAATAAATAAGCATTATCACAAGTGGGAATGTAATTTCCTATTCACTATACAGTCATCTGTAAAACAGTTAAATCTGAAGTGATTTTAAAACACTTTTGAAAAGCCCCATCTGCAGTTATCGCACGCAATCATGGCTCCGAAAAAGTCCGAACTAACCCTGCTATTATACCTGTTTCTCAGGGTCTATAATGTCTAAGACTGCATGAAGACAGCTATTCTGTCCAATGACAAATTCCTGAAAAGAAAATTACCGTTTTTCAAAACATTTAATTCATTCAATTTCATTGTTAATAATCGCTACATTCAATTTCATTGTTAATAATTATTCAATTGACAGGTTAAAACGCATTATGAATGTATCCCCTCTGGGGACCTGATAGGAGGGAGGTAGGTAGTCACCCACCAGGGATATCACAGGAATTTTCTTTAAGACTGAGAGCCATGGCCACTGTATAATAAGCCGCAATACAGCCATGATCATTGATTTTGATAAAATTCAGCCATCCACATGAACATTAACTTGCAAGCGTAAGTAAGTACTTTTCCATATAGAATGCCTCGCGATAAGCTTGATCTGGTGCCCTTACCAACGGTAGGAAATAAGTCCTGTATTCACATGGTTAGTTAGGTGGATAACTTTATTCCTGGTCCTGGTCGGGGGATTAGTAATGGTAACTGATTGTGAAAAAAATACTATCACTAAAAAATATCACTATTTTACCTTGTTATCCTTGTAAGTCAAATCCAGGAAGAGCTCAATCAGCCCAGGTTGTGTTTCTACAGCTGTGGCGATAAACTCCAGTATCACGGCTTTAAGTTTGATATCCTACAAATACATCAGAGTAAATTAGAAAATAATGTTGGACTTACTGTGTAGAAAAGTGTGGCCGAGTGGTTAGAGTGTCGGACTCGTAATCCGCCGCTCCCGAGTTCGAGTCCCAACCTGACTACTGGATTTGTTCCACGGTAGCCCCGAGTTCAGATCCTTGGCCACGTTTGTAAATAGCCAACTGGTTTACCTCCGGCCAGTTGGGGTTCTTAATGATGTTCTTGATGATGTTATTAATTTAGACCATTTGTTTCATTTGTTTGCAAGGACCACAATGGAAACTACTGGTTCACCAGTAATTGTGTAATCCTATGAAAAAAAAATTTTTTTTTTTTTTTTTTTTTTTTTTTTTAAAGTAAACCCTCCCTTCACCTGAAACTCCCTTAACAGAACAGACAGCCTCATTACCCAACTTCTTCTCTGTGAAACAGTCAATTCTTTCACTCACAAAACTCATTAGTAATTCTCCTTATCGGTTGCTAATCAATTTTTACGATGTCAGTATGGAGACTCTGGTATTGGATCAACTAGTAGTCCCTTAATTTTTTTTTTTCTCATCAGTAGCCTGCTTGATACTTAATTTATTTTGTTAGGAGAAATTCTGTCTTGGTCACCCATGGGGGTGAAAGGCCTTAAGGAAGTCTTTACAGGAGGAAACACATCCTGTTTTCCATGCGCTTTGGCGTGAATGTTACCTGTTAACCAACGAGAAACTGTTAAGAGTCATAAACTGTTGTTCAGTACCTCAGAAAGAGTCCTTAATCTCGACACAAAAGCGTCTCTTAAGGAAACTGCTTCAGCACCAAAACTGGCATGCATCGACATAGGAGCCACCTTAAAAAAGGAAAACAAATAAAACAAATGAGAAAACCCAGTGGTTATCTCGAGTGAAAAATTGAGTAACCTGGTGTTGGCTAACTTTCAGTGAGTAATAATAATGCATTACAATTAAACAAAAAATTGACCTTGCTTTAGGATATCATGTTGAAGAAAATGTTCAGCTAACAACAAAGCAGTGCATAAACAAAATGTACCCCCTCTGGGGACCTGAAGGGAGCAAGTTATCTACCCTCCAGGGATATAACAGGGAATTTTTTTTTTTAGGCTGAGAGCCATGACCACTCTACAATAAGCTATAGGTGGTTTTGGTAAAATCCAGCCATCCAAACAGAAGAAATGGCTAATCAATTAAAGTCATCCTCGTACACGTAACTGATGCTTAGATACACCATTGGTTTACAAATAGCAGCATAAAGGTAAATGAACGAGTGCCCAACAACTTGGTGCTCTATCTGTACTAAGAAAGTGAAAGGTTCCATTTCTGACAACCTCTGCACCCCACATGAGCCCAGTAGCTAGACATTCTGACAATTTCCCCACAGCTTCAAGATGAAAAGGGGAAAAAGGAAGGGGCAGGAGAAAGGGGCAAGAGAAACTTGTCGACATGGAAAACCCTACAAGAATCATGGTTCAACATTCTAAAACTGCTACCACAAGCTCCACAGCTAAAAGTTCTTGGATGTTTCCCACAAGAAATGATGGAGAAAAAGGAAGAGGGGGTGGAGAACAAGCAGAAGAAACATTACAGGGTCAAATAGATCCTAAGTTTACCACACCAATACCATTAGGACGTGCACTTGGAAAATCATTTGTAAATCACCAACAGCCCAAAAAAACCAGATGGGTCACTTGGCTCATATTCAGACTTTTACCCGATGATTAATTTAAAAAATGTTCATATAATTTCATTGTGCTGACATACCATGCATATTCTCTTCAGCAAGAGCGTTGCCAGGGTTGGCAGCTGACTGTCCAGTTTGTGATGTATATATGATGCTATGACAGTCACAAGTTGGCTATTACCTGAGTGGAATAAAAGAATGAGATTCTTTAAGTCCATACACAGTGGCCAAATATTATATGTGAGTATCCTGACCAGACTGAAGGGGGGGGGGGAGGGAGGGGGCAGATTAACTCCCACTGCTCAAGTAGTAGGTCTCTTTGCAAATAATTATCCACTGAGGAGCAATTTACCAATTAGCTCCCCCCTCCAGCCTTTAACAAAAACAGGTTGTTCTGTTTGTTTTTCTTTTTTTTTTTTTTTTTTGGGGGGGGGGGGGGGGCAGGGTTGTTTGTTTTCCAAAATGAAGCTACACAGAGCTCAACTCTCCTCATTGAGATGCTAGCTGCATTTCAAACCTCCCCTCCCAAACATTTGATAAGTTCCCCTACTTACAAGTGGCAGGAATCAAATCATACTCCATGGCGCAATACAGCACACCCAGAAGGAATTGCTCAAAAGGCCAATAGTGCGATACAATGGAAAAATTTCTGACCAGTGTCAGTGGATAATTGTCAACAAAACATATTGTGCTATCCAACAAAATAGAGATTTATCCCATGCATAGCATTATCCAACCTTAGAACAACTGGGGCCTGCATGCTAAGAAGTCACTAACTGCATCTTCCACTGGGAAGACAAATCTACACCATTCTTCTTAAATCATTCCAAACTTAACATCCATGTCAATTGTAATCAGTGCACAATTAGAAGTAATTTGTGATGAAATACAATCAACCATAACTCTTAATATCCTTAATATCAAATGTATCCCCTCTGGGGACCTGATAGGTGGTATGTTGTCTACCCACCAGGGATATAACAGGGAGTTTCATCTAGGCTGAGAGCCATAACCACTCTACAATGAGCTGTAGGTAGTTTTGGTAAAATTCAGCCACATGTAATTACATATTATCACACATAATAATAATAATGATATAATTGCAAAATAATAGAGAAACAAAATGAAGTACAACATGGAAAAACTATGACTAACATCAACTGCATTAATCAATAACAGTTTTTTTATCTCATTTCCTTTGGCCTCTGTGTATAGTAAATGAAACTTGAGGTCAGGCAATTCACCAGCCTCACTCAGAACACCATGTAATGTTTACAATAAAACTAACCCCAACTTGTGGAGTAGCTTGCTCCTTTATCCCTCAGTTGATGAATCACTTGAGTTGTCAATGCTTCCTCCAAAGGAGAGATGTTATCATCCTTAGAACAAATCAGAGAGATGCATAATTGTTACGCTAACAAAATGAGTATTTAGTGTGGATATATCAACAAAGTTGAAATGGTAAATTGGCCACCGTAACAATTACAAAAGCTGACGTTTCGAGCGTTAGCCCTTCGTCGGAGGGACAAAGGGCTAACATCACTCTGATGAAGGGCTCGTCGCTCTGACGAAGGGCTCCGTCGCTCCGACGAAGGGCTAACACTCGAAACGTCAGCTTTTGTAATCGTTACGGTGGCCAATTTACCATTTCAACTTTGTTTAATGATATATCCAAATTATTTCGTTACCCCCACCGACGCAGTCCCAAACAGTTTCTTTCGAAACTATCAGCCTTAATTCATAAGTATTTAGTGCTTTTAAAATTTCTGCAATGCATTGGTCAAATCTTCGGTACTTTCTCAAGTACATGAATTCCAAACTCCAAAATGGAAGTATCAATTTAAATTTACAACAAAATTCCATGTATCCCCACTGGGGACCTGATAGGAGGCAAGTTGTCTACCCATCAGAGATGTAACAGGGAGTTTTCTTTTAGGCTGAAAGCTATGACCACACTATAATAAGCTACAGGTGGTTTTGGTAAATTCAGCCACAGGGAGGTCGCTGGCCAAATTATTCCATGTGGCTTGAGATAATGCCATTAAACAATATGTAGAAGCATAGACAAAGTCATGTCACGGCCAATTCCAGATGTAAACATGTAATAATGTAACAACCACCACCAAACATCATGTCTCCCTGGCTAAAACTATGTTATCTAGGGCAGTACTGGTAATCAGAAAATTCCTTGTAAATAATAGTGACATAATTCTATGTGAACGAACCTTTCCTTTTCTGGCCAGGAGTCTGTTCAGCACAGAAAATGCCAGCTTGATAAGTTCAACAAGGGCCAAGGCATATCCACCTGTAGAACTACTGAGAAAATGAAATAACACAAGCCTGATTGTCAAAAGGTCTAGAGAGGAGCAGAAATGTAACAAATTTACAGACGTCATGCACTGAACTACAACTTGGAACCTCATTGAACTCATTCAAGAGCTTTCACACATGACCTACAGTATGTTACAAAACTTTTCTTAACACCCACACTCTTCACAACGTTTCACAAATATTCGATGTAGAACCTCATTTTTATTGACCCTCTGAACCCTCACACTGACTAGAAGCTAATTTCTCATTAAAATATCACCCTGAATAAAACATTACCATCATGAGAATAAACGAACTGATCACTAACAGAAGAAGCTCTTGATCATTAAACAAATTCTCCTTGTCAGCATCTTAGGAAATGTATAGAGAACAGTATGGAGAATATGCATACTGATATTAAGCTGCAAAGGATTTATACTAAAAAGATTACATTTAGCAAATGAGTACCTTCCCACAGACACAAGTTTATCAACAGTATCCACCCCTGTGCCAAGAATGTTTAGCAGTGACTGTCCAGCCTCTGAGAACAACAAACCAAGAACCAAGGTGTCCTGCAACACTGATGGAGTCCTTCAAGAGATAATACAACATCTACCAATTGGCAATTTATAGCTAGCTTCAATTAATATTAAACAGAATAATCATACACTGCAGTTAACTCTAGATTGTTGAATCACCAAATCCTGAATCTTTCGTTACAAACTACATGACTTGTATATGTGTTTAGTGTTCTCCTCTCCAGAATTATGCCTAAAATCACTTGGATTCTTGAAAATTTAGTATGTACACTGTAAAAGGAATGCTCTACCTGTTTGCAACTTTCTTTTAACCTGTCATACATAAAATAAAGGAGAACACTGTACGTAGCTACATGTATCCACTTTGAGGTTACATTAAGAGCTTGTTGCTCTTGTTTCATCCATTCTAGAATGAACATACTAAATTATACTACCAAAGTGTTGAATTGTGTTACTGAGAGCTGGAATAACTCTACAGAGCAATTGCAACTTTTTTTAAAGTACCTAATGCAAGATGCATGGCTGGTTATCCAAATCCTATAATTATTTATGCTGCAGTGGAGCACACATATGGAAAATTCCTAGATCAAGAGATCCTAATATCATCCAAAACAAGGTCCTCGTTGCTCATAACATGTACAGTTATAGCTCAATGCTAAAGGATAGAAGTACACTGACCGTGGCAAATCTGTGACTTCTGCTTCCATTGCGTCACTGGCTGGCTCAGCCATTTTTTGTTTAAAGTGAAGGCCAAGAACAACATTGAACAACTGAAGGCATCTCTTCCCTTTGCACAAACCAAAACAACTGATTCACATTAGTTTGGCTCCAATGTGTTTAATATTACACCCATTAGCCCAAAAAGCCCCTTTGAAACTTGAGAGCATTGATTCATGAAAACTTAAACACAAATACACAGAAGCGAAAGTCACTGAAATCTCTTAAACACTAGAATTATTTAATGGTTCTTTAACCCTAGAAAAAGAACCATAACATAATTTATATCTACAAGTCTCTGATATAGCTATGAAATAAAATCAATGTTCACTAAAAAAAGGACACAAATCTCTTGTGCAAACTTACCAATTTCTTCTCTGTCCCTTAGGCTACCAAATCTCCATTTGTAAAATTCTGTGAACACCTCTCTCATAATAAAAACTAGACATGCAGCGAGGTCAAGGACGCTGATTGGTTGACTTCCAGTTTCCTCAACAATACCCATTCCATGAATCAGCTTCAAAAGTAAATTCAAAGTTGACATGGTCACAGGGTAATAACCAATCAGCCTCTCCTTGGTACTCAGAATTGCGCCAAAGTTTCCAGGTGCTGTGCCCAGGAACCTAAACAAATAACACAAGAAAGAGTTGAAAGAGTGCACAACATATTTAAAAATAATAAACTGCCATCATTACTATGATCAAAATACAAATGAATCACTCAGAAGTAGACAAATTACAATGCTTCTTACAGTGTTTTGAGATTCCAAAGTGTCAAACAGTTAAAAAAATTCTTTAAAAGATAATTATAATTAAAACTTTGATAATCACATATAGAAAACAATTTGATAACCTCTTTGCACATGCAAAACTGTTACAATTAAATTGTTTAAGGACTCAAAATTAGATCTACTCACTCCACTTTGGTTTTGTCCAACTCTGACATTTTGACTGAAGTGCAATGAGGAAGGAATCCTGTTTGTTGAAGATGATGCCACACCTACACAGCAAAAATGAAGAATACAACTTTAACCACAATAGTTCCATGAGTGTGATAAAGATCTTGTTGTACAAAATAGTTCATTTTTAAATGAACCATTTGTACGACAAAAAAGGTGTTGGGAGTCGGGTAACTCAATGCAAGGTTGTAGCTAGATGCCAGCTGCTGACAAAAAATTCATTCCCCGCTCAGTAAAACACAACCACCACTTCTCAGGTTATGCCCTCACATTTTTGAGCTAATTTACTTAAAATTTCAACAACCAGCCTAATTCCTTAGCTCGAGCCGTATTAATGGTTAGTGTGATCCCTGGCAGAGTCACTGCCGTGTGTGGTCTGATAACACACACTATATTAAGAGGCACTTTTCTCAAGCAAACTGCTAAGGAAACCCAGTAAAAAGTTAGTTGGTTCCTCATAATGGTCTAAAAAGCATAAAATAACCATAAAATAAAATAAATTAAGGGTGTATGACCCAAGTGCCAAAACAACATTAAAGTGAACATACTTTCAACTTAACAGGTTACCAAAACAACCACAAGATACCATGTAAAAAACACCTTTCAAGGCCACTTTTTGTTAAAGAAAAGAATGATCAGTTACCTGTTCTGGATCTCTCAAAGCAACAGTTGCTAAGCATAACAAACATGTGGCGATCAAATCTTGGGGAGGGTTTGGTGATGGCGTGCACCTAAAATGAGATTTAACATGGTCAGGGTCATGGAAAAATTTGGATTGCTTTTCTGTGGAGAAAGTACTCTGATTCTTTATCAATGGATGGGTGCTGCACTTTGTAGCCTTTTGAAAAAATTACTAGAAACGACAAAGTTTATTGGGAAAATGAAATGGAAATACATATCGCAGACCCACAGTCAAAACAGCAAATTTCAAGCCAATGGATAATAAGTTTTACTTTGGATATAAAAATTCTACACTGAACATCCAGCCAGCAACTTATACCAGTTTCCATAGCGTGAAACAACTGTAGAGAGTATCACTACTCTTCCCTGGATGGGATGCCAGTCTATCACTACCCCCCTGGATGGGATGCCAGTCTATCACTACCCCCCTGGATAGGATGCCAGTCTATCAGTCTGTCACTACCCCCCTGGATAGGATGCCAGTCTATCACTATCCCCCCTCCATGGGATGCCAGTCTATCACTAGGTTACTCCCAGCAACTATTCACCAGGCCCCAGTTGTTCAAAGGATGGATAATGCTATACACTGGATAAATCCCTATCCGGTGGATAGTACAGTACATTTTGGTAACACTTATCCACTGGATAGCGATTTATTCATTGGATAGCGTTATCCGTTCTTTGAACAACCGGAGCCAGACTGGTACCTATTTACAGGTAATGTTCTACACTCCCGGGTGGAGAGAGATTCCCTCTTGATACACTGCTATCTACAAAATAAAATGGCTGTATTTTAATATCAAAACCAGATTCTGTTACCTCTGAATAATCAGATACAGACGGGAAGTGAGTGGCTTGAGATAAACAGCCTTGCTCCAGTCATTGTGTAGGACTTCATTGACTAACTCCACAATACAAATGACATTCTGACAATCCACAGCTAAATTTGAATAATGATAAGGCAGTCAAACTTGTTTACCATAATCAGATATTATGTGCAGTATAAAAAAAAACAAGATATAAATTCAGGCGAAATGAGAAGAACACAAGGTTGCAATTCATAGGAAGTGCTCACCTGCTCCAGATCCCACAGATTCAAGGAATGAATCAATTTCCAATGCAAAGAGTTTCCAGCAGGAATAACGATAACTCCATTGTATTATAGCAGGTCCTGGAAAGTAAGCAGTTTAACTTAAGTAACCCAAATGTACAGAGATAAGGGGACAAACCCTTCTGTGCTCCAGTTTTATCTTTGATTTTACCTATTGTATTGTATAATTTTAAACACAAAGTCATATCAACAAATCTTTTCCATAAATCATTTACCTTCAGGTACTGGTGCAACTTTTCCAAGTGTGCCAGTGGGCATAACAAGTTCTTTGGAATCTGGACTGAACACTGATAAATGAAACAAAATAGAATGTGAAAGTTACAAAGCAGAAAAAAAATTCAATCCTTTCACAAAATGTGTTGTTTTTATATTTCTGTCCATCTTCAAGACTTTCAAAAGGATTCATGTAGAGTACCTAATAAGCACATCAAAAAGATTATTATCTTTTTCTTATTCATTCAAACTTCTTTGAATACACATACTTGTGTTGTAGTTTCAAGTAAAATTTATTCTTCAGTTTTATTCACTGTTAGACATGAACAATATGACACCTGGAAGCCCAATACTGCCACTTTTTTTCTCCAAAAATGATGCCCAAAATGGCAAAACCAATAAATTTTTGAAGCTAATTTGTTCTCCTTTTGTGTGTATGTACATGTAGGAGTTTTATTTTTCTTGCTCTTCTTTTTTTCTCTTTATTTCAAAAATGGAAACCAAAATGCAAACATTTTGAAGCTTCTACATGCAAGCTCCCCATGTTTTCATCCCAAGCTCTTCACATCCCAAGCTCTTCAACCGCCTCCCAGTTAGCTCAATTGGTTAGAGCACTGGATTGTTGTGCGGGAGGTCGAGGTCGATGGTTCGAGCCCCGGCCAGACCAACACTCAAGGTCTTAAAATAACTGAAGAGAATGCGCTACCTTTCTATTATCAAGAAATGGATAGACATTCTAGTCTTCTCGGATAAGGACGAATAAACCGTAGGTCCCGTCTCCTGCATCTATTAATTAGTTCATTTGGTTAGGCAGGGGACGTTAAAGAACCCGCTCACGAGATTACTGTGATGTGGTCTGGCCTGTTTACTGGGAACTGAGAGGAGAGGGCATCTTCAAATACGTTTCCTTTGATTGTTTGTAAACTGCTGATGCAGTCTGGCCAAAGTCCCCCAAAAAGTGTTGTGATGCGCATTTGATCATATCCACATGTTAATTTGCGCAATATAAATATTCAATTATTATTATTATTATTATTATTATTATATTATTATGCGCAAGCCTATGAAATAATTCTGGAAGGTTATACTGTACATGTGCTTACCTCTTCACCTTTTCTTCCAGGACAAAAGCTATTAAAATACTTGAAATAATTTTCTCCATTTGCCATGTATATGATGCTGTGCTGCCTAGCTAGTGATCATCTTAACAGTACTTACAATTCTGATAGAGGAGTCTGGGATGAACAATCCTCCAGATCTTATTTACACCAGAGCAGTCTATGTCACTCAGCTGGTTCTCTCTCAGTAACTCTGTGTATGATGTCACATTGTCCATATAATCATAAACCTTTGAATAAAAACAGATTAACATCATGTTCAATATCAATCCAAGTTTATTTTCACTTAAATCAAATTTGCAGTGGGTTGGCAAAGAAGAGCTCTGGAAACATAATAATACGTCAATTGAGGTTCCCCCATAGGGGCTTTTCAGCCACAATGTAGTTTTAATGAATTGCTTAAAAATCCCCACTGGCAGGAGGCGACCAGTGGGCTATTTAAAGAGTGCAGCCGAGGAGTTGAACTAGGGGCAATCAAGAACAAATCCAGTGAGTGGCAGGGTGGAGGACTTGAATCCGGGCCACCAGATTTCAAGTCCAGCACCCTGACCACTTGGCCACGCCGCACTTTAGCAACAAGCTAGATAAATTAAAATAAGCTTTCACTACCTATTTCAGCACTGACGACAACAATTAGTAAACAGTTCATCACTCATCATCCACAATTCAAATATGACTCAATTCCTGCCTTATTTGTCAGAATTAATTCAAACAAAAGTAAGTGACCTTGGCCGCAGAATCCTTATCACCAGCTAAAGATTTCAGAAGTTGCAGAAATGGACAAAATTGGAGTGGAAACCTGAAATATAGAGATCAGCCTGATATAGATGTTCATGCAAATAGCATAATTTCAATCTCCATAAACATTTGAATAATTTCTTTTTGCACAACAAAAATTTGCTCTTCCAAATCACAAAATTATTTTCCTTTACCACCAAGAGACCATGTCAAAGTTCATTCTTGAAAGAAACCACCATGGTTTTGTTAAAATAAAATCCATCCCTTTTAAGGAGAGAACCAGTTACAGATATGTACACTGTACCATTCAATATTACAACAGTAATGACTTAAATCAATCCATACGAGTGTAACTATATAAATCATAAGTAAATGTTAACATGTCTTTATCTACACTAAGGGCACATTTGGAAAGAAAAAGTTAATCCTTCATCTCCCAGATGAGATGAAAATGTAACTTCTCCCTAAAACATCCCTAAATTGTCCAGCAAACAGGTAATAAGAATACTCAAACTTATCAGGTAGAAGTTGTTAGCTTGATATGATAACCAATTCTCACAACTAATTTACAAGGAAATGTGAAGCAGGTGAAGGGGAGAATTAGCAACTAGATCGTTAGAGTTCTAAGAAGGTTAAGACTTTCTTAGGCTTAGTTTATATGTCACACCACAGTCAAATTTAATTCAAGGTCCCACAAGCAATTAAATTCGACGATAGTGCGATGTCTAAACAAATTAAATTCGTCTGGTAAATTAAATTCAACTGTAGCGTGATGTATAATCAAGGCCTTAGTGTTCTATCAACATGTAGGTCCCTCGACTAGAGTGTCAAAAGATACTTACCAACTCCTGGCTGAGTTTAAAAGGAGACCAGCACCAGTGTTCAAGTCCTGAAAAACATTACAGGATATAAAATTAATTACCAATAAAGAATCTGCTTCATGTACAATTCATGTATAACCTTTGTATCATATCTGATGGTTATGCAAACAGTAACTGCAACCAGTGCTGTCAATCAAACATCAATTGTAAAAGTCATGAGGGGCAGGCACGGACAAATTGAGAAAGTGACACTTTCAAAATACAAATACATACCGAATCCCAGAAATCCACACAAAGACCTTTCTCAGCGAGGGCTTGAGATAAAACAGAAACCAGTAGCTACAAGGAGTCAAGGTGATCAATTCAAACTGGGTTAAAGTAACAAGTTTTAAATCTACGGAAAAATTATCTGAAGTTACCAAATTACATGTGCATTGAATACTTAATAGACTCCACGATGCACTACATCTTAGATCATAGTTACAGATCACCACAATGCATTGGGTCTGTTCAGTTAATCACAGTTAACATCAAAATGTGGTCTATTGTAAGTTGTGACGTTACAAATCCACAAAAACATGAAATCTATAATTGTAATTATACATGACAACAAAGCAAAATTTTGTTGATGGTGAAGCCATCTGCACATCTGTCCTCCAACAGATCATAGATAAAAACCATTCAAAATGTGGGTAGAATTCAGCCAATCATATAACCAGACAGACAGACATCTATATTTATACAGGATAGCCCCTTCAGTGTAGTAAACACTGGTATCAACGGGGGTCCTGTTACCCACCCATCCCACCCCAGGGGAGGACATCCATCACACAGTAATCTCGTGTGTGGGAAATTAATGTCTCCTGCCCCTAACCCTGCAGGAGACGGGACCTCCATTTATTCGTCCCTATCCGAGAAGACTAGAATATCTAACCATTTCTTGATGTTAAAGAAAGGAAGCATATTCTTCTCAGTTAATTTTAAGACCCTGAGTGTTGGTCCGGCCAGTATTGAACTCTCGACCTCCCGCACAGCAGTCCGGCGCTCTCCCAATTGAGCTAACCAGGCGGCGGTTATAACCAACAAATGATATTTGTATACTATAGATCACTCTCTTTTCAGTCATGCAGTAAATTGCTAATTAACCTTGAATAATTGGTAGCTTAATAGTTGCTGATTAATTAACAACATTCAGTTAAACTACATGTATAATTATGAGAAAAATCAAGCCAAAAATACTGAATCTAACTCAGGGTTGTGTATGTTTCTATATTTACCTGAAGTTTTCCTAGTGTATCCTCATCGAAAAGTGTCAACACTATCACCATCAATCCATATATAAGGCTCTTGCAGGTGTTTGACACAACCTGTAAAAATACCAAAGTTCTCATGAAAGACTACAAACACTGAACTGTACATTTATGGGTACTCTGTTCATTTTTATTTTTATTTTTTAACATCATTAAGAATTAGTTAACTGCCATTAACTCAACAGGCTGCAGGTTCAGTGATATAAATTGATCTCAGTTTGCATCTGACTTTTCCAGCAGTTTGGAAGCAGTCATATCTTGGCGGTCCTGAGTCCTTTGGACAGTTTTTCTCCCACCCAACCAACCCCTTGCTCGTTTCTTCTTCCACTGAGGATGGTATTCTATCTGGGGGATGGTTCATTGGGTACAGATGATGTACATCTACATGACAACTCCTTGACTAAGCAAGGCAGTCATTGATATCAAGAATTTTTCAGAACAAATGGAAAGAACACACAAATTGAGACACTGCAACTAGAGGTAAACAGGGCATTGCTTCTACCTATACATACATTTACTCAGCAAATATGGCATAAATACAGTCAGTGGTGAAAGACTTAGCCACATATGACACATGTAGATACATGTGTACCTGGGACAACCACTTTTCCTGTGAAACATATCTGATTCAATTGATGCATTTCAGTTTTTATTTAGTCTTAACCTCTGACAAATGATACTTACATTACTTCTGGAGAATTCCTCACTTCTTAACATCCCAAGTATATATTTGAACACAGAACACTGCAATGCTTTACTTCCAATTCTTCTGACAAACTAGAGAGGGGAGAGAAAGTTTCAGTGAGGGAACGAGCAGGTAAGATCTCCTTTCAAAATGATTTTTCCCCTTGACAACAAACCGTTGTACATAGCTTTTCAGGACCAAATAGCGATTTGTTCCTACAGTATTATAGTTTTTCTTAATCATACCAATGAAAGGCTTTTAAAGATACCTGTTCTTGAGTTGCTTCCATTGTAACATATCTGAACACTGCCCAGGCCAACATGACAGGTCCATGGTGTGGCTGATCTCCCCAGCTAAGAAAAAACCTATCCAGTTCCTGAAAGATGACAAATCTTACAATAAATTTAACCACCATGTTGTCTTTAAAATCATTCCGAGTCAGTGATCTTTAGGATCAAACAGATTAACAGAAACATACCTCAAGTGAGTCTTTCTCCTGGAGTAAATGATGCTGTGAACAGCTGTTAAAGGCAGAATGAAACAGCAATCAAAATGAAGTAAAGTTAACACAACCTCTAAATTACAAATTGACTGGCCCGTCTGCTGTCACCCACTCTGCATAGTCTACAAGTTGCAAACCAGGTTAATCTTTTGGTCTTGAAGAGTGACCAGCGTCTAATTTCTCCTTACAACATCACCCCTGAATCACACATCAAGAGGTTGTGAGAGCAAAGGAAATGATCACCAACTATTTAAAGAAGCTCTTGATTGTTAAACAAATTCTCCTTGTCAGCACCTTAGGAAATGTATAGAGAACAGTACAGAGAATATGCAAACTGATCTGAGGAAGGTAAGGGTTAACAAACAACTTAAACATGGAACATCCACAGCCAGTTGTTCAAAGTGCACTTACGTGTACCCCCTAATTAAATGTTAAGCTTGCTCTAATTTTGTGAATCATGATAGTGAATCAGTGCCAACAGATTTTATCTTAAATCAAAAGTGATGGGTTGGAAAAAAAAGAATTAGAGCAAATTTGTCTGAAAGGTGTATGTGCAAACCTTGATCTAAAGTTAATTTAGCTTGTTAAGTGCATGTACAACGCACATATATGTCTTTAATAAGTCAGTTAAAACTATTTTTATTACCCACCTGTCCTCTTGAATTAATTTCCTTAAACTCTCTAAATCAAGTGAAACTATAAGAACCAACACCTGGAGGTAACTGAAAAAAAAAAATATTTACATTGCAATTGAATTGGAGGTTATCATAATTAGGAAATAATTTGAATTCACAGTACATTGATACATCCAATGCCACACACTGAGGTGCAATGCACTCATAGTTAACATACTTTTATTTCATTCAAAGAATGAAAAATGTAAACAAACCCCTTGTTTACACTATGTAGATTGAAGTTTAAAAGTTAAGAATATTGTATGTAGTTTGTAACTGACAGTTATAAATTAAAAATTTGAGAGACTTTACTCACCTGATGTGAGGAAGTAAGGCCTCAGCCTGTCCTTCAAACAGTTGTCTGTTGATTTGTTTTAATCCAAAACTCTGGCTCTGTCATGTACAAATAATGAACACGACAACAACAAAAAAAAAAAAACAAAAAAAAAACAAAACAAGTTAGAGTAAAATAAGATTTTAGCCCTCACTTACCATATAATGTTTTAGCTAACACACCACTGAGCAAAAACATTTTCAAAACTCTGGCTCTGTCAGGTATAAGTCATTCAAACAAAAGAATATAAATTTTACGGAAAGTTATTTCAAGCACAGGATATAACTGTTCATTTTTCATATACACCTGTAATTGTTAGTACTACTGATAACACTTTAATGCCATAAAAGTAATTTCCGAAAAACCTTCATGACAAAAATCAGTGGACAGAAAATGGTGTAGAAAATATTTTCTCATTAGTATAGATTGAGCTCTTTTATAAAACCATGAGTATTCCCTGTGAAAACAGCTTTAAGACAACAGGAATTCTCCCTGGTATGCTGAAAACAAAAAAATTAACTGGTTGAACAAGATTTTGATTTCACCTGAAATAGTTTTGCCAGGTTTGCCAAAGACTTGGCTGGAACAACAAATTCTTTATAATAGAGGAGCATGATCTCCAGAAGCAGTATCTGAAGGTATAAAAAAAATCAATCTTTTAACCCATGAAGTATGAATACAAGTACATAAACTTGGCAAATCAATGTCTGAAAGTTAGGGGAGAACTCCAAAAAAAATTTTGTCCAAAAAACAAAAATTGGTCAAAATTTCTACATTTATGTGTACCTGTAAAACAATGTAGAATTCTACATCTTGAGTCAGCTTAGAAAAGGTGTGAATGCTTGAAACAAGGACCAAAACTTATTCAAAAGGATAATTTTTATTTTCCAAGTCTGACCATCATTTTTCATTCTGGCACATAGGTAAGGTGTTGTACCATGTAAGGCTTTGGCTTAAGATCTTAGAAAAGGTGTGAATGCTTGAAACAAGGACCAAAACTTATTCAAAAGGATAATTTTTATTTTCCAAATCTGACCATCATTTTTCATTCTGGCACATAGGTAAGGTGTTGTACCATGTAAGGCTTTGGCTTAAGATCTTTATCATACATAACTTAGCAACAAAATGAGGATGCCTGACATAAAGATGGAAACTATTGATTCAAGTTTACACACAGACAATTAATTCAAAACCATGCTGATAATAGAGGACTGAATTATTATTACCTGTTCTCTCAAAAACTGTAAAGCCCATCTTTGACATTTTGTCTTCAGATGCTGTGCATTGAAAAATTAATAGTTTTCATTAATATTTCAATTGATTCATCTTTACAGTATATACATGTAAATGGACTACAGCCAAACATACAGTATAGACAATAAAAAAACTTACAAGTGATGATCCTACTGTGGCATGAAGAGGAACTGTGGTCGAACAACTAGTCTTATACTGTTCCAAAATCTACAGCAAACACAAAAACACTAAATTAAATTTTCTTTAATACTGAAACAATGTTTCAGTAGAATGCCATTCTATCAGATTATATCTATATAAATAAAATTTCAGTATAAAACACTTTTCCTAATGAATGACTCCCAACGAACACCAAAATTGTTAAGGTTAGAGTGACAGTCAAGAGCATTTGAGATCAACTTAAATCAAAATTTTCATGCATGCACATTTTCTGTACTACACCTTCATAATCAACACATCATTTTCCTGCATAGCTTCAATGCACTCTGCAAATTCTTCCTGGTTGATGGAAAGAAAAATGCAAATCAACAAACCTGCATGTGCATGTACAAGTGATGAGAATAAAGAAATATCAATTAAGGGCCGGATTAGTTGATCCAATACCAAATTCTCCAAACTAACATCATAGAAATTGTATTACAGACAGTAAGGAGAATCACTAGAGAGATCTGGATAAGAAAAGGTACAATAAATTGAAATTCAACTTACTCTATAAGGATGTCTAGGATCTTGCCAGTAACTTAACAAAAACTTAGTGCACTGCAAGATGTGCAGACGTTCTTCAAAGTAGTACTCCATGATCTGAACAGATAAGAAAATGAATAAACAAAAGTTGATAACTTCAGGTAAACCCTTATGCACTAGTAAATAACAAATTACTTACCAGTAAATAACAAATTACTTACCTTTAGCATAAGTCCCTCAGTTTGAGCTTCATTTTTCAACATTTCCTTTTCATTTGAAGGAAAGGAAAGGAAAGTAAGATGTGTAGTATAGTATGTTGTAAATTGCCAAATTTATAAAACATTTGCACATATACATGGTTTAAAGATAAAAAAAAAAGTGGTCAGAAAAGGAAAATCTCTGAAGAATCAAACCCTAGACTTTTCAATTGGATTCCAAAGAGTGGCATGCGACATGAACATGTGTGCATGCAGGCTAAAACTAGTTTTATACAAGTAGGTCAGACAAGTATTTCCGCATATTGCCAGGGATAGCAATTTTGCAAGCAGCACATTATATGTCAGTAAATAGCGTAAGAAAAAAGGTAAATTTTCAGAATTCTACAAACCAAGAGCAGTTGTTTAGAGCCTCTAAAATCATTCTCCAAATAACTGCCAAACAACTGTAAACTCCTCCATTCATCAAGATTCTGGAAAAAAATCCATCATATTATCTATTTGTAATCAAAAGTTAGAATTGTCTTGACTATTAACAGCCTAATAACAGTATCCATAATTTCCATGCAGTTCTCTACATTTATCTAACTTGGTACTGACTGGGATACCTAGTCTAACGAAAAAAAGCTTCTTGGGTTGGGAAACAATTCACTCTTAGGGATCAAAACATTAAAAAATTCAGGGGTCAACTGTAAACCCCAGTATAGATATAATAACAATATCAACAACAGTAATTTTGTCAACATCAATAAGAAGAACAGCAACAACAGATCTACATGTAGTGATAGTCATGATAATGAAGATAGCCATAACAACAATATAGCAAACATACCAAAAATTTACTCAGTTTCAAAACAAATTCCTTTCGTTTTGGTTTCACATTTTGGGACTTTCGGAGAGCTTCAGCAGACTGAGGGCTGAAAAATTATGATATTCAATGTAATGTGCAGTCAGGGAAATATTAAAAAAAAAGTCACTATCCCAAATACTTGAAGAATCAACCAGAAATTTAACCAAAAATAAAGTCTACCTTGGCTCTTTGTAATAAGCAGTCCCCTGCAGTAAACGATCTTTTTTCTGTTTAAGTTCTTCTCCTATCTGATCCTAAATTATGAAAAAAGTGATTTCCCAGAATGTAAAACTCAATTGCACAAAGCTTCATCTACATCTATCTACATAATTAAATTAATTGATAAAATCCATTCAATATGAAGTAAAAAATAAATAAACAAACAAATAAATGTATATGAGAACGATCCTTCTCAGTAAAGCACTATTTGAGCAATAGTGAAAATCAGACCTGAAAAAAATTTCAGGCCTGAACGGGATTCGAACCACTGACCTCTGCGATACTAGTGCAGCGCTCTACAAGCCAACTGGGAGCAGGCCATCAAATTAATTCGATATAAACCCGTAGATGATAAATCAAACAACAACAAACATATGAAACATATGTGTGAACTGCGGTTATGAGACGTATATGAGAACGAAAAATTATTATATATCGTTCTCATATACGTCTCATAACCGCAGTTCACACATATGTTTCATATGTTTGTTGTTGTTTGATTTATCATCTACGGGTTTATATCGAATTAATTTGATGGCCTGCTCCCAGTTGGCTTGTTAGCTCAATTGGTAGAGCGCTGCACTAGTATCGCAGAGGTCAGTGGTTCGAATCCCGTACAGGCCTGAAATTTTTTTCAGGTCTGATTTTCACTATTGCTCAAATAGTGCTTTACTGCGAAGGATCGTTCTCATATACGTCTCATAACCGCAGTTCACACATATGTTTCATATGTTTGTTGTTGTTAAACAAATAAATGTTGAAAATGAATAAGTTTTTCATAAATATTAATTAATCATTTCAAATAAATGAGACAAACCGATCTTGAGAATATCAGTCTCTTATCATCATTGGGACTTGGGAAGAATTGTTACAAAAAGAACAATCATGATTGCAACTTGATGGTATAGAGGCCAATTTAGGAAATGATCTAGGGTATTGGCAGTACAACTGAGATGTTACCGGTAACTGCTGAATTAAATACACTCAATCTATGATGTCTACGGCTGACGAAAAAGTATCAAGATCTAACGACTCTCACTTCTCCGCAGCAGAGTTTCTTCTGTCAATAGTCTCTTTTAATGAATCCAGCTGCACGTCGCTTACGCGAAACATACATGTACATGTAATAAGAAACCACTACTATAGCAACCTCATCGATCTAGATGAAACGATTTCGTATGAAGTGCCAATCGCATTGATCGTGTCACAGAGGAAAGAACGTCGTAAGTGTGAGACGGAACCACGATCGCAGCAAAGCAATCGATATGATTTGGTGAAAACACGTCTTCACAACGAACTTACAGGATCTTGCAGGGAAGATCGTCCTGTTATAATGTGCCATAGCCCACGGTTAGATCTGCCGGATAAAAACAAAACTATCCATTATTCTACTATATTATAAACGAAAGATCACCCATTATCAGCTACAACTAGTATTATTTAAAGATTGTAAACGTGAGGTGAGCTTCGTGTCCGTGTTTCGTTGAACAAGATTTTGCAAACTTATTCAAAATCGAACGAAACTTACATTTCAATGGAAGTCATGTCAATGGATTACAATCGACACTTATGAGCTAGGCATGAAATCTTCGCCGGAATCCAGCATTATTTCTGACTCACTCGGACCTCGTGTCCAACCGCCAAAACCGCCATTTTGAGTTATGGACTTAGCAACCGGGCGATATGAACTTTGTTGCCGGTGTAACAGGACACAGAGCGTCTTCCCTCAATCAGAGCGTCGTTGAGTGCTTTGTCTCGTCTAATCTATTAATCTAAAAAAGTTAGTAGTTGTAGTTATTTGTTTGTTGGTGTAAGAAATTTCATGCTTATGTTATGATATCTCTATATGCAGACTTCTCATGGACCTTGTGATCGCCTACTGAACTGAATAAAATTGATGCACGAGCTGCTTGTTGTGATGTCATAATTTCCTTCTAGGTCAGGCGCGCGACTATAAAAAAAAAAAAATAGTTGAGGAACACTTCCTTTTTTTCCTTACAATAACTTCATGGCTTCTTCAACGGGAGTGTTAGGACAAGTCGCTCACTTTGTCTACATCTGGCTCCCGAAGACAACTGGGAATATCAACAAGAAGAGGAAAGATTTCCGACAGAGTAAAAAGCGCGTAAATATTTCTGAACCCCTCGGCGATAAGACTGAAACCAGCTCTCCAATGCTGGCCGTTTTGAAAAGCTCGCAAGGTCTTCCAAGTACCCCGAATACCTCAAAGGTTTTGATTCTACGAGCTTCGCCGAACACATGCAAGGGACAGGAGGAGCAATCGGAAGATTTATTCACTTGCAACCTTCAGGTTGTTGGATACAAGTTTTTATCAAACGAAAAGAAAATGTGTAAACGTTCAGCTCTTAAGAGATGGTTGCAAAGAAAGACAAATGCGGTTTACCAGGAAAATATATCTTGTGATGGACAGTTTGGTAGCGGCAGACACAATCTCTGCTCAAAAGAGCTCTTTGAATGTTCACTGAAGCTTGACGGTAAGGCCTTAATCAATTTTTTCCAACCGCAAACGAATCCTGCATTTAGAGCAACTTTCAATTGTGCGTCGCAGGTGATACAAAATTGCATTGGTTTTGCTTTTCTTCGCTCTGTGATTGGTCCAGAGAACTCACGCGACTCTCTCAAATAATCAGATGTAAAACTACACCAATCACGACTTGGTCGCCCATGTTTTCCCGCGCTTTAGGCAGTTTGATTATTTTTACTTTGAGTTCTTATTTTCTCTCAAAGGTATTTGCCTTTTTTCCTTTCTTTTGATTGGCCGTAGTAATTATTTTTCTTCTGGTTTAACCACACTCGATTGAAAAGCACTAGACGCCTGTAAATACCCCCCAGTTTTGTCGATCAATCAGATATGTTCCTAGGAAGGGTGCAATTGAGCTATTAAGATATAAAGCTAATCAAAACCTCATATTTAATTGGTAAACATGCAGGTGTCGAGAAATAACCGTAATCGAGGGGTGCGACAGTTCCTTTATCAGTGGCTAATACAGAGGGTGGCTTCTCTGGGGTCTGGAACCCACCATGACCCAGGGCCCGGTTGTTCAAATTCAAAGAGCGGATAACGCTATCCAATGGATAAATCGCTATCCAGCGGATAACTGTTACCTAAACGTACTGTGCTATCCACCGGATAGAGATTTATCCACTCTTCGAACAACCGAATCCAGGTGTTTACGAACTTGTTCCGTGACATAAAGTGTTTTCAAAATGGCGGCTTCCAAGGCGGAATTTCTAAGAAACTTTTCGAATATGTCAAGATACTATTCAGAAACTCAAACCGTACGTACTGTCCTTATTTGACATGTACTTTTTAATAGCATAGATTAAAACAATTTGGTTTCTGGGGCATAGTTCTCCTTTAAAAAAAAATTTCCATCTAACTCCCCTGCAGATTCCAAATTCCAGGTCAGCCGTCCTGGTCTCAGAGGGAATAGGAGACTGCCCTCACGGAGGACGTGTCCGCGAGAAGCAACAAACCAAACGATAAACGAAGAACTTACCGGCGGAATGAGATCAAGTGTCCTCGACCTTGGCGAATTAATCTCTGTAACAAAAGTGAAACCTTCTTGTGTGAAATAAACTTACATGTATTTTATATGTCAATGTGTTATAGTGATATGACTCAACCGAGGCCTGTTTCAACACGCTGGCTCAGGCCTTTTCAATTCCCTAAACAGAGATTTAAAGTCCCGGTATAGCCGAGTAGACAGATGTGCTGTGGTACTACATGTACTGCGGTTAGCGGCATAAATTCTGGACCATCCAAAGGTTGATCAACCTCGTTCTCAGGATGCTCTCCCAGTTTTCCTCCCTCGAAGGGAGGCAGAGAAATTGAAAGGATTCAGGGAACGAGGTTGAAGATCGAACCGGGTTGGAGTTCTGGCCAAGTTCATTGTGTTGTTTATTCAGTTAAGAGAAAACTCTTACAATGGGTCATCTACGTGAACAGAAGTGTAAACAGAAACTGGAAAATCCTCAGTGAGATGTATTGAGGTACTGAGGTTACCCAGCGTTATTCCACAGGAGGAAGTGCAGTCTACTCTCTGGTCTAAAAGTAGGGGTCGAGAATACTCTAGCAGTTATTCATGCAACCCTCACCTTGAAGGCGAACGAAGACGTAGCAGTACCCTAGACTTAACTGGCTTACAATCAAAGATGACACGGTCCGATTAAACTTTTATTTTACTCAACGTTAAACTACAGCTCTCTGATTCATTGATTTAAAAGAACTGGCAAATTGCTTCTGCTAGCTTCACGTGTGAAGATAGAATTTTTTTTGCGCGTCAGTGGTAAAGATGTTATATATTTGAAACAAAAACATTCTGATATTGAACATATAACCTAACCCCTCGATTACGACCTCTTGTTTGTGTCCTTCGTGCAGAAGCAATTGGGATCAATTTTCTACTTGGTTTTGTCAATAAGTTTATTTGTTTTCAAATCCTGGGTTGCTCACTCGGGATTGATATGTTTCTGACATCTACACTCGTTTCAGATAACTGTTCATGTTCCAAGTAACGTTGTATCTGCAAAAAAAAAAAAAAGGCGCTTTGAGAATCTTAATACTTCAGGATTGAAATTGAAATTGTGAAAATATCGTTTCATTTGTTTCAAAGTTTCAATTCCGAAGTTGATCCAAAATTTCAGGACTAGAATCATGTTTCGAGATTTTCAAAACTTTTGTAACTCATTTAAAAAGGATCAGTGCTATTAAAATTTTGCCTTTTTTTTCGAGCATGCAGATCTGGGAGAACTGATTACAACTCCTCAAAATCAAATTCATGTCATAAAACTCTAAAGATCGTAATGTTTCCAAAAAGCCTCTTTCTGGCCACTTTGATGGGCAAATTCAGCTTTTTTTGACATATCCACTTGGACGAGTATTCCGGAAAGCAACGTATCAGTATGAGAGTATGCTTAACAGTTGGAAGTTCCGCTTTCGAATTTATCCAATTTATTTTTTATCCAAGTATTTTACTTTCAGAGGAGCTGAACAAATAAGAAACCCATGTGTAAGTGTTTTATTTGCGCCAAGGCATGGTACTTTAGCGCTCGCCATAATTTGAAAATGCATTCTTAGTTAAACCAAGAACTATGAGCTCCCAAAGTCCAGCGTTTAAACATCACTCACCCGTAAAAATCCGCGTATCGCTGATCTACAAGGTATCTTTCACCTTTGTCTTTCATGAAGCGTTTTACCGCGTCAAGCTTCACACTACCCAGTGGTGTGTACCCAAGCTCCTTAGCAAGCCCCTGACCAGGTGCGTTTGGAACTATGGGATTGGTGTCTTCAACACAGATATAGTCCCCAGGCTCCGTAAATTTATCAAAGTACTCCAGCACACCAGTAACGTTGACATGAGCATCTTCAGTTATGAACCATGGGTGAGGGAGTTCCTGTAAAGGGAAAGTAACCTCCCCATCGATTCAGATAGTTGTGTTAGTTTTCAGTGCTCGACGACCTCTGGATTCGGATTCGCTCGGACGCAGGGCTAACACATTAGAATCCCTCTACATAACCAACTCTTGATAAAAAAAACTCTTCGAACCCCCCCCCCCTTCGATAACAATCCAGGCGATCATATTAGCAACTGGGCTTCAGGTCTCAAATGGAAGCTTGAAAGTTGACGGAGGGGACACAAATTCTTCTAAACTGAAAATGCCTTTTCCGTTTCCACTTAGACAAATTTTTCTGCTATTCGAGAAACAGTCAGCAAAGGAAATTGTGCAACGACATGTCGATAGATTTTCTCACCTGGAGTAATTCTGCAGGAAAACATTTGTCAATCTCAAGTGAATCCCCTTGAATGAACGCGACATCCGGGTACGCTTTAGCGACTGGATCCAGTAACGAAAGATCAACATCCAATGACAGAACACGTGATGTGACACCAATCATTTTCAGCATGTCTGCTGCCCACAAAGCTGAGCCGCCTTTGTAGGCTCCGAGCTCAATAACGGTCTTGGGCTGTAACTCCCAAAACAGTTCCTGAACTACTATAAGATCGAGGCAGTCCTTCAGAATGGGAATTCCTCGCCATGATGTCCAATACTTCCCTAATAAGAAAAAATGCAAGTTTCACAATAACATGTCGTCTTGATCCTTGTTTCACGCCTATTCTTGTGCCACCGAATACCGTAGATAACATCATTTCTCTACATTAAACACACATTTCTCAATTTATCTGTCAGGGTGTATAATTTGGAATAAAAGAGAGGGCCAAGAGAGTCCAATATGTTTTGATACATTGAAACAACTGGAGGGGGGGATAAAAACGACACAACGCGATGCTTTTAACGAGACCATATTTAAACTCCTCAGCTGTACTTATCTACACCGGAAACTTTACTTTTTCAAAAGACTACACTTTCGGAACATTTTTCCCATGATCCTTAATTGCCCAGCAACTCATCGGGTTTCGTTTGTGTGTGATGACGGGCAAAATGGAATCTCATTAGGGTGGATGTGCAAAAGCGGTAACTGAAGCTGAAGGAAAGCGTGACTTGAATCTTACCATGAGCTATTTTTAACATCATGTCGGTGGGCATGTCACTCATTTCTTGTCTGTCTTGAAAACGAGCAAATCGCTTTTTTTGGGAAACTTCCTTATCGATGATAGTTTGGACTGGGTGATACTCTGCAGCCTCCATTTCCTCAATAGCTTTAAGCTCCGGTAATTGATCAAAACCTTTGTAGAAGTGTGAGTGGTTCTAAACAAACATACAACATATCAAGAAATAGCTTAACGAGGAAGGACTCGCTTTCTGGTAAGCCTACTATAAGAACATATCTAAAAATGGCTGAGGAAAAAACAAATCATGGTGTGTTTTAAGGAACTTAACGAAGCTATATCTTTATACGTTAAAATGTTATTTTTCCATGATTTATTCGCGATTGTTATAAATTGTCTCACTGTAGAATGTAGATGTCAACACACTCAAAGGACCCCTTGCCTTCCGTTTTGCGTAAGTGCGTGATCAGCGAGCATGGACTTACTTACTGCGTAGATAGTTAAATTGGATGTGCCTCCCGTACTAAATAAAAACTCTAAGGAATTATTTAATGGATAATTACTGAGGCATATGGCATTGATCCCTATGAAATCCTATTGTTCTGTGTCTGTGTTGGATCTGCGATTTTAGTCGCACCTATGTGTGATAATTGTGATGCTCATTGCTATTGTTCTTTGTTGTGATGAATTTACCTTAGATTTTAATTGTGCCGAGGGTTGTTATTGTAGCTCGTTGTTATAGTTGTTCAAAACAGTGCTAATGATGGAATTAATTCGCGCAAGGCGTGTAACACTGCTAATTTGTATACTTTCTAAGCTAGAGAACTCAGTCATTTTACTCAGTGCGAACCTGGGTTTAGAAAGAGGATGGATTCGTCGGAACACGAAGGATTATTTATTACACAGAGCTCTACGAAGGCAGAGCAGAAATCGAAGATAATGTAGTGTAACGTTTGGACATTTCTGTCAGTGCTTTAATTCTTTATCGACTTCTAAACGCGGCGTTTCAATTTTCTTTTTTTTAAATAGAGCAAAGATTTACAGCTTCAGAATGCGAGAAATTTGACAAAAGTTGGGTTTCAGACGCCAGCCGCCGGAAATGGGCGTGGGTTTTGAAAGTCTTTGAGGAGTGGAAGAAGCAATATTTTTTAATAATTGAATTTCATGGGGATCAGTAATTATACAAAATTAAGACCCTAGCAACAGGACAACCTCATGGCTTCGTCCCCACAGGAGGCAGTAGCCTTAAAAACGCTTTTATTTTGTTTTGAATTCCACCTCCAATTCGATCTTAACTATAAGCTTTATTTAGGATTTAGTTCCAGTTGCTATGGAGATAAAATTGCGGGGCGAGTCTATCTGCATAAACCATAAACCTCCAAAAATTTTGTTATATGAGCTATTTTCCTCTACGTCATTCGCAGACACGATAATAACTTGTCAACAGACGCAGATCTTGAAAGGTTTTATCTTCCTGCTTTTGGGCAGAACTTTCTTAAGACAACGAAACACCTCCTGATATTCTCTTTTCTTTTCACGGGAGCAACTTCAGAATACCCGTCCACATCATTTACATGTGTCGGGAGGCTTTGAAGAACGAAGCATAACACAATAGATGCTATTCTTATTCAATGACATGTAAATGAGTGGCCGGGTATTCTGAATCATCATCCCACTTTTCAAATAGTGAACTCTCAAGGCTGGTTCTCACTTGTGAATCGAGTCGAGGTGCAACGTCGCGATTAAAACTGGCTAGCACTTCAGAGGATGCTCAAATGAAAAGCTTGTTTAGCACGTAAAACAATGCTCAAAAGTAGTCTTGAAATTTGTTAAAAATGCCAATCCTACTCTAAATTTTGAGAAGAGCGTAAGTAACTGGAAATAAAATACCAAAATAAAAGTATGTTTTGAAGCCGCATATCTCCTCAAAATTTGTTGGAAATGTAAAATGTAACTTTCCAATCTTTCCCAGAAGGGTAAGACGAGCGTAGGTAAACTTGAAAAAAAAAAATGTGCTCCAAAGACAAAAAAAAGAAAACTTAAGTCATCCAATGTGATCGGGGAAATAATCCCTAATGGCTGCTTGGTCCAGCACGTAAACCTACGCTAATTAACCGAATTGTGCAGTTGAAGGTTGACACACTGCGTCAAATATCTCGGGAAATTATTTAAAGAGAAAGCGTTTGTTTCAAGTCACTGAAACACTCTTGTCATAATTTCTTGCAAATTATGATTACTGAAATAAAAACAAAAGCAAACAAACACTAACCTCTATCCTGACTGACGCGATGAACATAAAGAAGCCTGGATGTGTGTCCCAGATATAAAGGGTACCTTGACAATCGGATATTGTAGTTAGGTCCTCTAACACCTGACACAGGGTTACTCGGCTTTGATTACCCTGACAGGAAGTCGGAAAACTCTTGAACAATGTCGAGTCACGAAGCATTGGGGCTGGTTACGTCAACCACACCGAAAGCTTAAATAGTTAATCAGCAAGATGTCACGCCTTGAGGACGACGAAAAAATAAGGAAAAAGAATATTCGGAAAAAGCAACTCCTGTAAGAGTTTTCGATAACAAGGATAGCGCGACAATCATTTTATGCAGTAAAGTTACCTGTCAAAACTGTCATTATAACATAACCAAAGTAAGGTGCGCGCTCTGATTGGTCAATTCAGCGTCCCCCATTTGCCCATGGGAGTACGCAGAGTTAATAGCGCTGATCTCTGGTGTACGCTACTGACGTGAGCAAATGCGAAGACAATTTTTCCGCGCGCGCTTGTTTTTCTGGTCACGCAATGTTATGTTACAAAACAAATGGTTAACACCACAGCGTACACTACTGAGTTATGGATGCACTTTAAAGGTCGCTACGCACTCAAGAGGCTAGAATTGTTTATTCGAGGAATACATGTAATACAAAAGCACATGGGCAGGAAAGATACTGCACGTGATTTACACGTTACGTAATCAACGCGTGACATATGACAGGCAGCCCAAGCTCACTGCTGGAAAAGCGGACGTGACTCTTACAGTGTTGCGCAACACGCTATCAAAATGTCTTGTTTTGAAATAAAATGGGCTTACCTTATTGCCTTATTGTTTTCTTTGTTGATTCCTAGTGTCTCAGGCCATTTTTATAGCGCTAACTCGCCGAAAACGCCGCGATGTCGCGTGTCTTGAATTTGGTACTTACGAGGATATTTGTTGCGATTTCAGCGCAACACCACAAAAATATGAGGGGTCATCTCCGCCAATATCCTGTTTCAAATTCTGTTCTAAAAAACCTGTATGCTATTACTTTTTATCAGATTCTTTTCAGAATAGAAATTGGCGAAACAGAATAGAAATTGGTGAAACAGAATAGAAATTGGCGAGACAGAATAGAAATTGGTGAAACAGAATAGAAATTGGCGAAACAGAATAGAAATTGGCGAAACAGAATAGAAATTGGTGAAACAGAATAGAAATTGGCGAAACAGAATAGAAATCGTCCCTATCCGAGAAGACTAGAAAGTCTAACCATTTGCAGATATTATTACAAAGGCAGCACTTTCTTCTCAGTTAATTAAAGACCCTGAGTGTTGGTCCGGCCGGATTTGAACTCACGACCTCCCGCACAACAGTCCGGCGCTCTACCAATTGCAGCCTCAGTGAGAAGTTTGGCGTGCCTCAGGGATCTGTTTTGGGACCTGCCTTGCTTTCGTTGTTTTGCAACGATCTCCCTGATATAGCTGGAGTTAGTGAATCCGAGATTCACTTGTGCGTGGCTGCGTCATCTTCTGACAAGGTTGTCGTTGTCTTAAACAACATCCTCCAGAAGTTCTATGAGTGGCGCTGCCTTAATCACCTCACACCTCACTGCGGTAAAACCGAGTACACGACTTCAATGCGCGGCCAAGCAGTGTCATTGGGGGAGAGTGTTGTCAATCAAGTCAAGTCAACTAGGTGCTTAGACGTTGAGCTTGACAAGGATCTTAAAAACGTTCACGTAAAAGACTTAATTGAGTCCTTCACACAGTAATTGAATTTTCTCAGGTCCTTGCATTTTTTACCGACCACTTCGAGAGCTGATTTTCATTTCAAAGTAATTTTATCATCAGTCACTTATGGTTTGGTTGTATGGGGCTCCTGTGGCAAATCGCTCTTTGATGAGCTGGAGATGATACACGTACGTGCCGCTAAGACCATCCACAACCTGGATTGGTATACACCTAGCGATCAGGTCCTATCCTAAAGCAACTGGTTTACCATTAATTGTTTATACGAATATAGATTACTTTCATTCGCACACGACTATTTTTATGGCCTTTCACCTGTTCGTATTTATTAGGCTGTTTATTTTATGATTGTAACTATAACCTACGAAGGAAAATGACTTTTCTTTTACTGAAGCCGAACTCAGAACTTCTTCGCAAGTCCACTTAGCTTGTTACAAAGCCATATCTTTATATGGAATTCTCTCAAAAATCATACACGTTCAATTGCAAGCAGAAGCTTGTTTAGAAACACGCTTTAACATAGAATTTCATGCAAATGGCTCGCAATATATATATTTTTTTAAATAAGTTTTTCTAAATTTTAATGGTTTTAAGTTTTTTTCTTATTTACAAGCGTAAATAGTGCTTTGTAACTTTTTAACTACACGACCACGTAAGCTCCACTGTAATTTTTATCGTGTTTAAATAACTGTTGTTGTTGTTGTAAGTGCTCAAGAATGGTTCGTCCTGTCCGAGATTACTCCCGATGCTGGTTCACAATCAAATGAGGACTGTATATTTCCAAGCTATAAAATGCGTTTATTCGTAGATTCACAGTTCTTTACAATTCCGTTCCGTTCTGATGCGTTCTAATTCGTTCTACCTTAACCTCTTACAACAATGTCTTATATACACAAGGAAATACAAGAATGTTGCGGTTGTAACCGCTAAACTTAGTCTTAACTAGTTACAAGCTTTCTTTGTTTGTTATAATCAAGTACGTGATCTACTTTTAGCCCATATGTGCTACATGCAAATGTCACGCGCAATATGTGACATTACCGCGAGAATTAACGTTGCGTGATACAAAGATTAAAATAAACTATTATTATCGGACACGTCCTGGCAACTCGGGTTTCAAAGAAGGAAACTTGTGAAAGAAAAACTTTTTTTATGATTTTTAAGATCGATCCTTTAATTTAGCATAAGAAATGAGATGTTCTCTTAGGATTTGAGCCTGCGCCTTAATGCAGATGTGCTGACAGGTGAATGTTTGTGGCAAAGTAACATTTATTGATGCCTAAGAAATTGTTTCAGCGACCTTTTTTGGAAATGCTGCCTTTTTTAGGTATAATATGGCTGTTCAAAAAAATTCATGTCGACATAGTTTTACACCTTCAAATGGCCGCATCATTAGGCACAAAAATTTGCAGTGGTTAGCATTTCAACAACGAAAGCGCATTATGAATATTTCATCAAGGACTTATTTTGCACCAGCTCGTTAAGCTTAATAAAAAGGATTTCATCTTAAAGTTTTTTATTGTACACATTTTAGTGGGGAGTGACTGATGACGTAAACTTGAAAAAGCCTTTTTTTGCAACACCCAGCGAAGAAATAGCTACTAATCGTTAAAAATGCGACAACATTACGCAGGGATCTTCATGTTGGGGCTCCTGTGGTAGTTTACAGTAGTTGGATGCGTGAAGATGAAGCCATAGCTGTAAACGGTAAGAATTTAGCCAAGCGACGAATCTCATTCAGAATGGTCCAAAATTAAGCCACCACGACTAGCAAATCTGCCAGCTGCAGGTCAACTTATTCTTTATCTTATTTATTTTTTTCGCAATTGTCTGTTTCATCCTATTTAACTGAAGAAATCCCATTTTAATTTATTTTTTTAGCATATCTCTGTCCAATATGCCAATTTTGCCCCCATCACTAGTGCTTTGGTCTTGAATTATTCATAAAATACATATATCTTATTAGACGTTTTGTTGTGTAGTATCGCTGAGTATTTTTACGAGTTGTGCCGTATTTTGACGAGCCCGTAGGGTGAGTCAAAATACAAATAACGAGTAAAAATACTCAGCGATACTACACAACAAAACGTCTAATAAGTTATTTATTATCCAACACGCCAAACTGTCATACCTATATATGCACAAAGAAATTCCTTTTTGAGTGTCAATGGAACATGTTTAGACACATTACATGTTTTTCACTTGGAAAAGTCACAACGAACTACAACCGAGGAACGAATTATAAAGCGCTTACGAACAAATTTTGGGAAAGGTTTCATCTTAAAGAAATAATCTGCCCACTTGCCTGATGGAAATGGACGAATTATTAATTATTGTTTACTATTCTATCTGGCGGGCCAAATTACTGCCAAATTACTAACATGTCTGAGTCTTTTTTTCTAATTTTTGAAAAACTGGAAGGGAATATATTCTCGACTGTTATTACTTAAACAAAATCATCAAATAGTTGTGGACTGCAATACATTAGGGACTGGGCATGTCTCAAAATAATATAGTTGGCTTCTGGAATGTTCTAGAAGACATTGTAAATGTATATAAGTCTCAGTCATCAAGAAGTAATAGTTGCCGTTGTCGGCAGAGACTGACCGTCTTGAAAGCTATGCTGACAGAGAGCTATTGTAGTTATACTTGAAAGATTGTGCACTGCAAAACTATTTGGAGGAAACAGCGAGTGTGTCAGTGAACTAAGTTATGGTTTGTAGTCGGCTTCACCCCATGTCTTATGTTCCATGTCTATCGTACACAATAGAAACTGTCAAGTTACAAAGATGATTTAATAAATTGACCAACGTACACCAAATACAAACCAGCAATACCATATTAAACGCGTTAAAACTTAATAGATCTACAGCCAGCGGCAGTAGAAAATTTCTGTACAATTTAATCAACGATTTGTAAACAGTTAGGATGATATAAGTCAAGTATAAATAAGATTAAGATACAACGACACGACATTGTTATACCTTATAATATAACAATATACATCATTAAATAGCCACTTCACACATCAGTCAAACGAAGATGCAATAATTGGGAAAGCTTACACCAAAAAGATTGTCAGCTGACTCTAATACCTTACACCCCTAGGGTCAGTGAAAAAAACTGGGGGCGGGGAAGAGTGGCGGAGTATGCCTGAAGATATCCTTCGGCAAAATTAAAGTGATATACCAACAGGAGTCCGCTCGACTTCGAACGACGAAAATATCGAGGTAACTGGACCCCACAACATTTGGAGAACGGAGGACAGTTTTAGACATTGAAATATGGCGCGAATAGTTACAAGCTTGAAAAAGAAGGAATCAGCATGGAGTCTTGAAGTTACCTCGAACAGTTCAGAAACAAAGTCCCCATGGCAAAATAAGCCGCCAAAATTTGAAGATTATTATGGTTACTTATTTCCTAACAGTGACATCCACTACCAGCCGTGTATTATCTGGGCAAGGAGGTACCTATTTTACCTCTCCCCTTTCCTGCACCTCTTCCAAGGGGCGTGGTCTTCCCTCCTCTACCTCGAGTACTTCTCAAACTTGCTTGGCTTGGAGCTTTGCTAGCTGAATAAGGTGACAGAGGAAAACGTAACCTTTCACTGGAAAAACCTGAAAACTTGATCGTAACCTTAAAAAGCTAGATCTTTCAGAGAAGTGCCTCATAATAAAAGGCCAGTAGAGTTAGATACCTCTTGTAACATCGAATGAACTATGAGGTGTACGCAATGTAGCAAGAATCTTGTTCAGGCGTAAAATACCGGTCACAACGAAAACCTAGTCTTACACTGCAGCTTGTTTCTTGTTAACTTATTTGTTTACCTGATTGCTGCTGCAGCCTCGCCTTGTTCGGAGCACATTCTTCTTTCAAATGTTTGCTCCAGGCCTAAAACATCAGTAAAAAGTATAAAGGTTACTCTGGCTGGCAAACCCACAAAAGTTGGCATGACAGAAAATAAATGAGATAGTGACTTTTTCAATGGACTTCACCTCGTCTCCTTTGCCAAGTGTTTTGTTACACAGAACACAGCGGGGACCTTTAGATGCTAAAGAAACCAATTGTATAAGTAAAAAAAAGAATGTGATCAAGAAATTCATCACGGTAGAAGCAGCAAGAGAGGAATTGACCACTTGTTCAGATGTAATGAACATTAATTTGAATATAACATCAAAAGATTGAAAAAAAAGAGGAAAGGAAAATTAAAAATGAAATACAAGAGAAGAAAAAAAAAAGGGACGACTTGGAGGATTCAAAGAACTGGCCACCAGTTGGGCTTGCTAAGGAAGAATAATTGGCGTCTTTTAGGTTTTTGTCCTTCGGAAGTTTTCGGCAAAGAATTCCAAGCAAAGATTAAAGAATGTTCGAAAAAGGTTGCATCGTTTAATCCCTTGAGGGTGACTAGCATTTAATTTCCTACTACGGTAATACTGCTGAGTCAAACAATAGGCTCATAAGAATTTAGGAAATGATCACAAGCTTAGAAACCTCTTAATTTTGAACTAAATTCTCCCTGTCGGTGCCACACGTAATGCATAAATAACAGCATGGAGAATAAACATGCTCATATTAGGGTGTAAAGGGTTCAAGAGAAAACGATAAGAACAGCTCTGGTTAAATGTCCTTCCTAACGGAGGGGGAGAGGGGGTATTAAAACAATAATAATAATAATAATAATAATAATAATAATAATAATAATAACAATAGCAAAAATCCCCCAAAACGACGGATATAATGCACTTTGCTAATAAGGAATTCATTTCGTTGCGAAAGCAGAGCACCAAAAACATAACTTACGGCTGCAGCTTTTTTTGGCGAGGTGTCCTTCAAGATCCACTTTGAGGACGGCCTCCTTACATCGAGGACACTGAGCAAATTTGCCACTGGACTCACATTCAGTCAGCAGATGTTCACTCACACCGGAGATTTCAATCACCTGAAGGGAGGAGAGGGTAAGGAAGAGAAGATGGTCGGCAATAGCATTTTTCTTATGGGACAGCATTGCTGTTGTTGTCAGAGAGGGGAGGGTGAGTTACCTGAGCACAGTGGTCGCATCTTTTTAACATGGGACAGCTCTTCCAGTAATGCACATCCAACATCTCTTCAGTGAAAGATTCGTTCTGCTCACCGCAGAAGATACACATTCTATGTGGTATCCAGAATAGAAAAAAAGAGAGAAGCAAATGAGTGATGTCTGGATCTGACATTAAATCACTTATTCTTGTCCAGAGATAACCAATTCTGTATTTTTTATGTTTTTTTTTTTTTTTGCCACAGCGGCGGGCATGAATTGCTAGTATTTGATGCCCATGATTTAGCTAAATAAAATCTGTACTCTTAAGGTTTCCGCGATGGTTTTCATATTCCCTAACAGTCCATTTCTTTGTATCAACAAATTCGATGCGAGTTACTATGACAATTTAATTTCAAAAACGATTATTCGCCGAAGGTGGAGAAGAGATAGTCTTATAACCTCCGAGATAAAGTCTCTAAAATTGTAGACAACATTAACTAAGAAAGTTATGTACAAGAGCTAGACATGATAAAAACATCTACCTACCACTGCAGTACAAGTCTGTGATTAGTTGAGTTATAACACTTAACATGCATAAGTACTGGAGCGCTTTTCGAACGAGCATCGTAAAACCAAAACCAAAGTAATTAAGAGACCAATCGCAAAGAGAGTAAAATACTATTGTGGATTGTGGGCCAATGAGAACTCAAAGTAAAAAAAAAAAAAAAGAACACTGCTATAAGCGCGGGAAAACGCCAGCGACCAAATCATGATTGAGTTAAGTTTTTCCTCTGAATGGTTGAGGAAGTGGCAGGAGTTTTCTGGACCAGTCAGAGTGAAATACAGCTAAACCAAAGAATACTTTCGACTCATTGAACGTTGTTCTAAACGTAATTCTATTTATGTATATAATACCTGTCTACGTCGATCTGTTCTTCTGCAAAGAAAATAATTAATTAATTAATTAATTAAAACTATTGGTATTGGTAAACATTACAATTCTTCATCCAGCAGCGAGCGAAGAAACTCCCAGTTTGTACAAAGACATACTACCACACAGCCTCCCCTGAAAGATTGTGGGCCCAAGATGCTTCATGGAATTTCTTTTGCATGTCACATGACCCCCTTGGACACAGTAACACTTATAAAAAGTCTTCTCAAGGGGTGAGATCTGGACGACCAGATTTATGTGGCATGCTGTGATAAAGAATTATCACGTTTATTAGTAGGTCAGTCAATCAGGCCGTTCGTCCGTCTGTCCGTCAGTCCATCCGTCAGTCTGTCCGTCCGTCCATCCGTCCGTGAGTCCGTCCATCCGTCAGTCTGTCCGCCCGTTAGTCCGTCCATCCGTCAACCCGTCCGTCAGTCCGTCCGTCCGTCAGTCTGTCCGTCCGTCCGTCAGTCCGTCCATCAGTCAGTCGGCCGGTAAGTTAGTCAATCAGTTGGTTATGGTAAAATTGTGACATGAATAATAGTTCACTCCAAGACGACAAATGACAACACTCTAAAAATCTGATATAACGATTCTATTAGTAATGGCAGATCCTGCATTATAAACAAATTACTTTGCAGCACGTACTAACCTTTAGCTGGCTTAGAATTTCCTGCTTTGTTAGATTCCTAAAAACAAGATGTAATTTTCTTTAATTTTCTGCCAATAATAATTTTCCTGAATTAAATTCAAACCTTCAAACTCCAGACTACAAGTGTTTCTCTGTTTCAGGAGAGATTAAGCGTATCAATTAGAAACCGTCATTAAGTACAGGTTTTATACGAACCCCAGCCATGTCTCGGAGCGCTTGAAGTTGAGCCTGTAATGCTGCAATCTAGGAAGCGAGAAAGACATTTCGTTGGACTAAGATCCTCAAATCTCATTTATCAACAAAAGGATACATGACACTTCAGCTGCGAACACAGTCAGTTTCTGCTTTCCTGAGGGCATTCACTTAACCTTGGTGCAGTCTTCGTGCGTGTGTGTGTGTGTGTGTGTGTGTGTGTGTCTGTCTGTCTGTCTGTGTATGTGTGTGTCTGTCTGTGTGTGTGTGTCTGTCTGTATGTGTGTGTGTGTCTGTCTGTGTGTGTGTGTCTGTGTGTGTATGTGTGTGTATGTGAGTGAAAACACACAAATCAGCGAGAGATGTGACTGAAATACGCAGTCGAAATTTATCATTTCATCGGCCGTTTACTGTACCTCGGCTTGCTTGGCTTTCTCTGAGTTTGCAGCTGCTGTCTTTGCTTGTGCCTGTTAATAAATAAAAAGGTGAGTGACTTTAATTTTTTTTTTTAATTGTATTTCTTGGGCGAGCAAAAGGAAGTGTGACTCACGCATGTGATCAAATCTCCACCCTTACCTACACTCCCCTATGAACATATATGCGCATACCTTTCTCTCGGCTTCTGTTGGCTTTCCATCGATCTGGTCAAACCCGTCAAACAGGTTTCTGTAGAGTGGGTTTTTCCGGGTGGCTGGCTCGTCAGGAGGTAGATAGTCACGAACAGTGTCTTTTACCTTAAAAAAAAAAACAAACAAACAAACAAACAAATAAACAAGCGTGAAACTAAATTAAGCATTTCTCCTTGGAGTATTTTTCGATTGACTGTTGTAAAAACCAAACCAATGTAATCACAACAGCCTATTAGAACAAAGGTTTGCGAAACAGGCAACTACCAAAAGCGCGGGAGTCTAGTGTCTTCGTTTGGTTTCTGATTGGTTAAGATAATGGTGCGAGTTTGCCAGACCAATCACAGACCCATTTAAAGAAAAACCAAAGCAATCTTGCATCACTTTCGACACTCAATTGAATATTGCTCTATGTCCACCTATAACATTTCCATTACGGTAATACCTTCTTGTACAACTCCAAAACGAGACGACATGCAGGATCCCTCACATCACCGCTGGTATGTTCCAGTGCAGGTAACACAATCTGAAGACAAATCATTAAATTCTCCTTTCTAACAGACAGACATCTATTAGCATAACTGCTGAGAATTTGGTTCCAGATCAGAATGACCTTCCTTACGGCAGGTGAATAAAAACTAGATGTCAGGATTAACAAATAGATTCCAGGTTGCCTAAGGTTTGTTCAGTAATGGATCACAGATACTGTCAAAATGTGGTAAGAACAACAAAGTGACACACGAGGCGCGGCTGAATGGGTCGTTGATGACCTATAACCTTGATGTATTTAATACTTGGAAATCTATCTGTTGTAAATGCTGCTCATTCTGTAATATTTTATCTTCTAAGCGCTGCTGCTATTAACGATAATCATTAACAATAATGATTATATAATATGCGACATACTTTGTAATTACATATAAACTATAGTTTTTGTTATACAATCTTTGGATATATATATATATATATACATATAGAGAGTTTCTATTTTAATGTTGGTTTGTAATTCGATATTTTATCTATTTTTAATTTTTTTTCTTTTGGGCGCACTTAATTTGGAGCCTCGCTCTTTTGTGTCTTTCCTCACCCCCCTTTGTTATCATCATTATTATCTTATCATATTATTTTATTATCTGTTATTACTATGTTTTAAGGGTGGAAGCTAAGTAAATCAGTAAATAAATTTTGACGTCTTCTGCGTTCTGTTACTAAACAGACCCAATAATAACACAGAAGCAAAAAATAGTTAATGGTGACGTGATCTATGGGTTTGTCCTTTACTAGGTTCAGTAACTACGAACCAATCAAAACGCGTGTATCATTCATCTTATCATATAAAGTTAGATCTTACCCTCATTATATTTCCAGTAGAGAGGCTCCTAAAAGGAACAGACACAATTTCCTCACAATCAGTTGACTTAAGGAACAGTTTGCAAGAATTCTTGTCTTGCAGTTCAGAGAAATCTATCTTCTAAAGAAACTGTGGTGCTGCGTCGGTGGGGGTAACAAGGTAATTAGGTTTTTTTCAACTGAGTTGATATTGTAAAAGGTTTTCAACGCTGACGTTTTGAGTGTTAGCCTCTCGTCAGAGCGAATATCTTTAAATAGTTTCATCCCTTAATCATGGTATGAACACTTACCTAGCCCGCAGTGATTTCGACATTCTGCTCAATTATGGAGTACGAGTTTTATGGAATAAATTGTTCATGTAGAAAAGAAGTTCCTTTTGAAACTGTGCGTGTCATGTTTGAAACAGAAAAATTTATGGAGAGAAAATTTCTTGGGTGAGTCCAATTGAAACTTTACTCATAACAGTTGGTCGAAATTCAAAACTTACCCAGGTTTACCAGAATCTAATTCCAGAACTCCAAGAAGCTTTTCGATAATCTCAATCCTGCTTTTGTACATCCTGGGCTGGAATGGAGCATTTAACAGAAATATATTAAAATTTCCAAACAAAGTTAAAATTCAAACGTCACCCTTGCAAGCCTGAGTATAATTTCATTTATTAGTTTTCCATCAGTACGATGGATAGGAACGTTTTTCGAAAGCGGAAAAAAACTTTATGTATAAATAAGGAACAGACTTCTTTTATTTTAGGCAAATTTCACTCGAAGAAAGTAGTTTTGGACTGTTAATAGATGAAATTCTCCACTCTACTCTGAATACAATGATAATACAGTAATTCTGTATCTGGCGTTTCTTGAACTCTGACCGACTTATTCCCAACATTTTTCCTCTACTAACAGCACATAACGTGTTAGATAAGTTTTCTAAGCAAAAAAATAAAAAATAAATAAAAAAACCAACGAAAAACCATACAAACAGACAGAACAGAAACAAAAACAAACAAACAAAACAAGACTGAACTCAACATGTTACTAAGAAGCCTGTGTAGATTTCTAGCATCTGTACTTTCCGAACAAGGTTTTAGTTCACTTTAAACATTATAAATATCACTTACCGACACTTGTTGTTTTGCTTTAAATGGTCGTGTAGCATGATCCGGTAGAACACCCAGAAGCTAGGAAAAAAAAGATTAAATTTCGTAACAGTGTTTTAACTCAAATTTTCTGATTATACGAAGAAGAGGAAGATTTGTACAAGAAACCACGACTGCATGCAAGATTTCACTTTCTCTAAAGCAACGATCACTTAAGAAGATAAAACAGTATTATAAAATAACTTAGATACAACGAACGCCCTAATTGGTAAAAGATCCATTGCTTATTGCACCATAAAAAATCTAAGTTTATTTCATAAGAGCAATAGACCCCTCTTTCTATCGGTTTACACTCGACAGGTTTGTAAATAATTCATCTACGGCTTGTGACTAAAAAAGACATATCTCTCGTGTTCTCCCAACATTCTGCACGAGTTATTACGTCCGTACTCCAATAGAAAGTGCGATCTACTGCCCAAGTAATTCTCGTCAAACATACTCCAGCATGTTATGAGTAAACTCCAGATCTCAAACCTTTATATCTTTGTGTACAGCTAGCTCCATTATCATGGCAGTGGCAACATCGCGACTTCTCGCAGCCTTAAGATAGAAATCAATACTAAGAACCGGTATTTTTGTTCAGGCAGAAAAAGAACAGACGAGAAAAATGATAAGTGCACTACAAGGATATTAAATTGCAAACAGAATAACTTTTTGAAGGAAAGCTTTTTTCAAGAGGCCACATGATGGCGTGTGAGCGAAATCTGCGACACAGAATTAGTTATTTCTTTAATCGCCCTGAATCTTCGAATTGAAGTGGCATCCGTACATCACTTGGGGCCCATTTAGAAGGTCGTGGGCGACCCAAGACAACCCTCTCCCCGAGTCACCCTGGCTGAGCTCACTTTACACTTATTTTTTCGAAAAATCCAACCAACAGTTCACATGAAAATGGGAATTCGTTTTAAGGGGGGAGACAACTCGGCATGGCGAGGCGAGGCGAGGTGGGTTAGGGTAACCCTGTCAGGCGGGACGCCTTTTCCTCGAATAGATACTTCGGTTCGTCTGCGTGAGACGAGACGGCTCAAATTTTGTCCAATATGTAATCCGCCTTGCTGTCACAAGAGACAGCTGTCACAAATAACAAGTCCATATAACAGTTCCGTAAAATTGTCTCGGGGTGGTGGGGTGGGGTGGGGGGGGGTGTCAGCTCAGTTTTCCTTTGGTTACTTCTGAAGTTACATATAACTTCACGGCTGAAGAGAGTTTCTTGGTAGTAATAAGACATTTTGTGCCATGCAACTCACCATTTCACCAGATTTTGTCAGCAGGGGAGGAGTTGTCTACGACAGGAATACAAAAAAAAAAAGATTATTGTTTCAAGATCAACACAAACTGTTTCAAAGTCAAAATAAATTTTCCATGTATTCATTCAAACATTTGTCATGTAGGAAGGAGTTTTATCTTCAAAGCGTAAGTGATGTTCCGTCATGTTTATCTCAGCAAATCTGAAAGACATCTGTCTAAATGGCCTTGATAAGGGAATTATGTCCAAACCTCACGTATAACAGTTGGACGATCAGAAAATGACTTTATATTTAACACACCTTTTCAGCAACATGCGAGATTTCTGACTTTGCCAGCCTAGAAGTATTGCAAGAAATGCTCAGTGATATATTTTCTAAAATAGAAGCTGTACTTTAAAGCTTAAAATCTATATGAGATCGAACACGTACGAAAACGAAGAACGGATCTGTAAAATATAATAGAGCCATTCTCAATTGACTGTTGTACAACCACAACAAAAGTCATCGAAACAGCCAATCATAACAAACGTTTGTTTCATCATTAGCCAATGAAGACTCAAAATAAAACCAGGCAGACTACCAAAAGCGCGGGAAAAACGCAGGCGACCAAGGCACGCATGGTTTTCGTTTGGCGACTGACTGGTTTAAAGCGCGGCACGAGTTTACCAGACCAATCACATACCGAAGTAAAGCAAAACCAAAGCAATGCCAGATTTCTTTCAACCCACAATTGAAAATTACTCTAACGAAAGGCAAGTAAGATTCTTACTTGTGACGAGGAATGTACGTCTTTACCAATGAGCGCAGAACCTCCAAGCTCTCACTGAAGACCTGGAACGAACATAAAAGAAAACCGTGCTCGCAAAATATTTGTACCATACTGAAAAAAAAAAAATTAAACTTCGCGACCTTACGGAAAAAACTTGGTCCTTGATTCCTTTTTGTACAAGGAACACTGTTGCCTTGACAACTGCTTTAGGATCTTTGTCTGATATCAGCTGAGGTGTATCAGACGACATTTCCTTTTCAACGTTCTCCATAGCTTCCTGGCGATATTTCCATTGTTTAGAATAAGCATGTTGAACCTAAAGCGAAAACAGTGAAAAACACTTGACGAAAAATTTGAAGAGAAGAAATCACATTATAGGGCAATGAGAACTCAAAGTAAGTACAACCAAGCAACCTAAACCGCGGGAAAACGCGGGCGACCAAATCGTGATTGGTTTTAGTTTGCATCTGATTGGTTAGGAGAGCGGCGCGAGTTTTCTGAACCAATCACAGAGCGAAGTAAAAGCCGATGCAATCTCGGATCACTTGCGACACTCAATTGCAAGATTGCTCTAACTTAAATACAAGTGAAACAAAGTGATTCTTCATCAAGCGCTTACCAGGTCTTCACCAAAAACTTCAATGACAAATCCTGCAGTTCTGAGATCATTCTCCTTCAAAGGCTCTGGTCCATCTGTGAGACACAGACACAGACACACACACACACACACACACACACACACACACACACACACACACACACACACACACACACACACAAAAAAAAAAATAACACAGATCTAATCTCTCGTAATCATTTTCCGGTATTCAAGATCTTTAGTTTCATAAGTAATAAATGAAAAAAATAAAAAAACAAAAAATACTACAACATAGAATGTGTTTTGTAAGCCAGGTTGACAAGACCGAACAGGATCGAATCAACGAATGACGTAACGAACGACGCAACGTGTAAATTCTTCAAAAGCTATGAGGGAGGCTTCTCAACTTCCAGGGCTCATCATAAGAGAGGTGTATGTCTGTACATGTATAAGGCTTGTTACCTGTGTTTCCAGGAGGCTCCTTGGTACCTTCCACTTCTTGGTCAGCCTCAAGGGACCTACATTCAAGAAAAAAAAAAAAAGAAACCAAATTCAAATGGAGCTTGAAGGAAACTTCTAGCCCGCTTTGTTTGAAGCACAGAAAGAAGAGTTACAAAGGCTATTTTGTCCAAAGCATTACCCATAGATACTTAAGCATAAATTACAAAAAACAAAGCATTCACTTAAAAATTACGGGATTTACCTTTTGTTTAAAGCAGGAAGAGGTCGGTCGTCAGCATCGTCATCCTTGGCAATGAAAAAGATACAGGTTTTTTTACTATTCCTGAATTCACGTTTTTCCCCTTTTTAGGGTATACGTATACATTCGCTGTACTAAATATTTCTGCAACATTTGAATATAATGGAGGCTTCAGGGCTTTATTACAAGCAATCATTTGGGTTTATTATCTTGTGTTCTAGAGAAAGATACTTTATAAATTTCACACAGCCTTTATCCCTCCAGAATATCACGAGCTTTAAGTTTCCTATTTTCTTTGACCTACCTCTGACCTGACCTGACCTGACTACTGTCAAACATTCAGGTAAAACTGAGAAAAATGCAAAGGAGTGTCTAATGAGGAACTGACACCCCATTCAGAGGTAGTCGCAAAACTCTTCGTCACTTTATCGTACCGATCTCGAAACAGGTACAGCCTCCAAAGCAGGTGTAACCTTAAGTCGTAAAATATTATGTACGTGTACCTTCCTGGGGCTAATCAAAGGCGGAGTGTCTTCTCTTGCAGAAGGTTGTCGTTTTATTGGTGCCAGCAGGGGTGGGGTGTCCCTCTCTTCCTCTTGGCGCTGAGGAGTAGGGGGCAGTCTATTCTGATCTGTTGCTATTGGAGGCAGGGGTGGTGGAGCTAGAAGTTAAACAAGCATGTTACAGAACCTTCTGGAATTT